CCACGCAGTAAGGTTCTGTAAAGCACAAGTTGATGGTTGAAAGGGAACAACCGTTGGACGGACCCTATTCAGAGCTTGTCACGTGTGGATCCAGTAATCGGCAGAAAAGCGGCACGGATCAACTCCCTTGAAGCGTTTAGCAAATTTCACTTATCACTTGACCTAGATTCTTCATCTCTCTTTGATGTGCATTTGGTACAAGGGGTTAGAGGTTACGGTTTTGTAAGCTCGACCAACAAGAGCTCAAATTAATATAATAAAAAGAACACAATTAACAGGCTGCGTTGGTGGTGACGCACAAACGCTTAAATTAAACAAAACCTCACAAGCATTGACATTAACACCACTTTACAAACGAAGAATGCAGACTCAAGTTCTTAGTCATGACCCGGCTTAAACAAAAAGAAAAACGGCAGACAGAAATCTACTAAAAATATCTACGTTCATGAGAATTGTGTCCTACTGTGCTGGTAGTGGTGCAAAAGCATGGACACAACAAATGCCTGAAAAGAAACCAAAAAAATACTCTACAAAGTTTCTTGCAACAATCCCTCTGCTACGATACACGCTTAGGAGGAAGCGGTGGCACAGCAAGGTGAACCCGGCAACCTGCGTTTAATTGCCAACCATGGCTAACATCAGTGGTCAGTGAATTCTGAATCTGTTCTGGCCTATGACCCCCACCCGCCCTGACACCCCCCCCCCCAGACCACTTCATGAACCTGCACGGATCAGCATAGCGATGGTGAAGTATGGTGAAATAACCTACTTGGGGAGGCCATCATCTCGAAATGCTTTCACAAACGCCCATTCATTATTACTTATGTTTAAAATATAGACGAGGGTAGTTCGCTCCACAATAGCGAACTTATGTATGTAGAACGTCTTTCGCACCATACGTAGCCAAACACAAAAATCAGTTCTAAAGAAGTGCAAAGCTCCAGTAGCTTCTGAATATCGGAAGAGGAAACTTATTTGGTCCATCAGACGATGGGCTTTCCGACCGACATTTATCCGCTGTATAGCTCTACAGGTTTATTATCTCTCTGATGTGTTGTGTGTGGGGTTGCACTGCGGTGTTGCTGTGCATGATGCCCGACGTTTCGGTGCGCGTGCTGGTAGCTTATTTAAGAAGTGAATACCGTCCAGTTAAAGTTAAGCTGTTGTATCATGCCAAGCGACACGGGGTAGAACCAGAAAACGCACCGGAGATGTAGAGCACATCCAAGAAAACCCGAGATCGTCGATTATACAAAGTCAAACTTTTTTGCGCTCGTTCTACACTGAAAAAAATTCCTCCCCCCTCCACCTCCCCAAATCCGAAATACCCTCTGAAAGAATCCCAATTTGTCCTGCGGCACAACAGTCAAATTCGTCCACTTTTAGCAGTTTGCTAAAATCCTGCTGTGGCATCCTACGAGAGGGGATAACATTGCAGTTGAATGCCAAGATGGGTACACAAGCGCAGCCAACTTGAGCCTTGTCAGGCTGCTTGGCATGGCACACCAGAAAGAGGCGATGCATGGTGTGCCAGACGGGGACGGGAGTGGGGGGGTGTGTGTGTGTCGTGGCGGTGGAGTTCATGCGTGGGAGGGGGTTTTGTGCGTGTGCTGCAGCGCGGAGAGTGGTGGTGCAGCGGTGAGCGCTACGCTGCGCTATGAAACTCGACGACCCAATTTCGATTCCCGCTCAAGGCCAACACCAGTGACGATTATCTGAAGTGGTCCTGGGCCTCCCATAGGTCGACTCTGCCTCAAATGAGGGCCTGGTGCGGTGTGTAAACATCGCCACGAGGGAGACAGAGGCGATCGGGCGTGGTGCTAGCCACCCACCCACTCGTGTGCCGTGCGGGCCTTCATAGGTGCTCGCTAACAGCACTTGCCCCAAAACCATATTAAGGCTATACGGTGGATATTTGCGTTTGTAGTGGGACGTCTGTGTGGGTGTGGTGGGGTGTAGGTGTATGTGTGGTTGTGTTGGGAGTGTGTGGAGGGGCGTCTGTGTGGGCGTGCGGGGGTGTGTGCACGAATAAGGGGCGCGCGATGTGTGCACGGGGGTGGTGTGTGGTGGGGTAGGCGTGTATAACGTGGAGGTGTATGTGATGGTACACGTATGTTGGAGGGTGTGGTGACATGTGTGGATGTAAGGGGGGGGGGGGCGAGTATGTTCTTCTTGTGGTGCGGTTGCGTTTCATGTAGGGTGTTTATTTGCATGGGTTATGCATGTTTTATGGGAATAGAGTTCTATTCCTGATCAATGACAGTCGCGAATATTTGAACCGGTCCTGGGAGTACCCTAGGTTGACTCAGCCTAAAATTCGTACCTGGTGCGTTGTGTAAACATTGCTATTAGGGAGACAAAGGCGACCGGGCGTGGTGTTGGTCAGCCTTCATAGGTGCTCGCTAGCAGAACTTGCTCCAAGTCTGTTAAAGGTTATACGGGGGACCTTTGTCTTTGTTGTGTGTGTCAAGTGTGGGGAGCGAGTGTGGGGGTTTGCGCGCTCTGTGTGTGTTGTGTGCCAGTGTTAGCGAGCACTTTCCTAGGTGCTGGCCACCCACCTCTCCATGTGCCGTGCGAGCATTCATAGGTGCTACTCACTAACAGAACTTGGCCCAAAACGTCTGTAAAGGCTTGTTATACTGTACGTATGTGTGTGTGTGTGCGGTGGGGTATGTGCAGATTTATATGGGTGCTTCGTTGTGTGGGTTATGGATGTAGGCATGTGTGTGCGTGTGGATATGCACGCGCGCGTGTGATGTGGGTGTGTGTATGGTGGGCAATACAAGTTGAATCAAAGTGCCGCACGGAATTGGCTAGGCCGTGCGTGCTGATGCTGTGCTCTGGCCACGCTAAACCCCAAAAGCTCCCAGTAAAATGTTGACTGTGGAAGGGAAAATAAGATGGCTTTGGTTGGCCTCCTTTATTATTTCGTTCAACCCCCCCCCCACTCAAAACCAGACTGCGGGGCGCAGGCTGCGTTGGCAGGCGAGGCATTTAAAGTCCCCACCAAAACTGGACGACCCGCGAACCGCACACCACAGCGTTGGATCCCGACCCGTGATGACTGCTGCTTTATATATTTGGAGGTTGCGTGTCTCTCTGTCATCACTACGGTGGCTAGGAGATGTTAACTACCTCGCCCGGTATACGGGAGCTCGTGGGTTCGATCCCGACCCTGACGCCTGCTGCTGTATATTTTGAGTTTGCGTCTCTCTCTCCCCGTGGTCGCGTGGGGGTTTTTTTTTCTCCGGGTCCTCCCGTTTTTCCCTCCACATTTAGAAACATGTGTTTAGATTATTTGGCCGCTATACATTTCCATATGATGAGCCACTTCGCTGAGCTATCCTTTCTGGGCAGGTCGCTTCTGAAAAAAAGCTCATATCTCAGTGGGCTTTATCTGGTAAAATAAACAGATACACATATATTCGTGATTTGCTTACCTTTCCTATACTTTGCACTGCTATCGTGTTTTTGTACTGTTTGTGTAACTTTCTGACCCGCCCCTACTGGACATCTGTTAAAAAGCTTTATAGCTCACCGGATTCCTCCTGAAGTATAAATAAAGATTCTTACACTGGATATCTGGGGCGAAAGAGCATTGGAGCTCATAGGATTCCTCCTCCAGTATGAAGAAACATTCTGATTCAGCTTTGGTGTAACGTGTTTTTGTGCCGCTATTGTTGTTGCTGTTATTTAAGCAAGGGCAAGGGGGGATGGGCGCGCAGTGCGGGCAGGATAACCAGCGGGGGGTTCGGAATCCTTTCTCCCGTCCACCTTTATAAGTCTTCTCCTCCCCCACACCTCCGATCTTGCCACACACGCATTACAACACGCGCGCTCACGTACCCGCGAATCACCATCACCAGCAGAAACACCGCCGCCACGCTCAAGTGAAGTGCAACTTAAGAGTTTGCATGTGGGACCTTCTTTGCCACGATCAAAACTATGGGGGTGGGGGGGGGGTGGGATTTAAGAGACTTTACCGTTTGCGGCAATAAAACACGAGTTATGTTAAGATGTTCCAACGCCAAATATATATACACACACACATCGCAAGGCATCAAGTCTGCACAAGCCAACACATACTTGTGGCAAAGAAACGTGGAAACAGACACACGCTCCCATCATACGTGCAGTGCAGTTGCCTTTGAAACCGATTAGCCCCCACCAGAAGGCGCCCCCCACCCCTCTTCTTGAGAGAGCTCGCCGCCTTCACAGTCGCGCTCGACGCGGGCAGCGTGGACGGCGAACGGTGGCAACGATTGTTGGTGAATGAAGATGGCGATGAGGCTAATCGCGAACGCCCCGTCGCGAACGGGCGGCTGCCCGCGACGGCCATGGACGCGCCGGGGGTAGCGGGCGGCTGCGACAATGACACAGATCCGCGTTAGACGACGATGGTGGTGATGATGATGATGGAGGTGACGAGGAGGGCGAAGACGATGGGGGGGGGGGGGGGGGGAGATGCGAAGGTTGACAACGACCACGGTATGAGACGGCAACGAGAACGAGAACGGAATGCGACGCAGCCCGTGACGATCAAGGACATGGAAGTTGACGATGAGTTTGCGAGAGGGCGATTACCGGGAACAATAAACGCGGATATTGAATAATAAAAGCGCATCGACAATGTCGGCACTGTAACTGGCGAAGTCGATAGACTATGGACGAAGGTGCACATACACACACACATACACACGCGCGCGTTGTGACTCTTTACAGCTGCGAGGAGGCGAGCGAGGCCTGCGTGAGGGCGGGACCCGTTGAGAAGGGGGCCTGGCCCGGGCCTTGGGTGACGCGAGCCAGAATCTTCCCGAAAAAAAACACGGGCGGCGTGAGGGAGAGGAGTCGTCGACCCTCCATCACCAACTCACAGCTCGTCACTCTCCCCATCACCAACTCACTCGCTCACCACCACCACCATCATCACCACCACGGTTCACTCCCCCACACCTCAGCACGCACCTCAAATAAAAAGGCGCATTCCACACCAGACCAACCTTTCCGCCGCCGCGTAGACGTCACACTCCCAACGACGATACCCCCTCTCCAGCTGCGGTCGTTGAAAAAGTTACGTTTTTATTTAGGTTTGTTAAAATTAAAGTCACGAATAAAACGTGGAGGGGCGAAGGCGGCGGCCTCGTTGCGCCGAGCGGTTTGGGCCTCGTTGTCGAGACGCCGTTCGGAAACCCTAGCGCGGATAGGCAACGCGCACCGTATCGCGCCTCCCCATTGGCCGAGCGCGCGACCGCGTGAGCGTAGCGGACCAATGGGGAGCGCCAACAAATCGCGCGGCGCCTATCCCCGCTAGGGATTGCAAAACAGGAAGCGGCGTGGCACCCCGCACGCCCGCGGCGCCCTCGACTGGCGGCCTTGGCCGAGGCGGAGGCATGGGGAGGCGGCCGAGACGACTAGGCCGCACGTCCCACCTCTCCCCCGCCCCGCCACCTCAATCTTCTCCCCCGCTACAACAACAACAAGAGCCCCAGGCAACACCGCAACCCAGCCGCCTGGCTCATTCGCCTGCCGCCCACCTCGGCGTGAATCAGCATCGCTTATCCCTCCTCGGCGCGTTGCTTGGTGGTCGCGACCGAAGCCCGAAGAGAGGAGGCAGCGGCGGCGGAGACGAGGACGGGGGGGGGAGTAAGACGGAGCGGGAGGGAACGCCTCGCCAGCCAGCGGGCCCGCGACCTGTGACCCCGCGACCTGTGACCTCCCCTCCCTCTATCCCTCTACCCCTCCCTCTATCCCTCTACCCCTCCCTCTATCCCTCGACCCCTCCCTCTATCCCTCTACCCCTCCCTCTATCCCTCTACCCCTCCCTCTACCCCTCCACCCCTCCCTCTACCCCTCCACCCCTCCCTCTACCCCTCCCCCAACGCACCAACATGGGGGGGGGGGGCGCGGCCCCTCGAGACCACGTGGCAGAAGTTGCGTCACAATCGGGGTGTGTGTGTGGAGACCCGGCGGGCATCTTGGGTAAGTGGAGTGAGTGGAGGGTGAGCACGTGGTCGGGGCTTTCGCGAGCGATGTCATCGAGAGTCGAGGTTCTCTTTGCGTGACATATCTTACTAACGGCTATGTCGGGTGGTGGCGGGTTTAACGACACATTTTACGCGATCTAACCGAAAAAAAACTTGTATTATGGGTATTCGTATATATTGTGTGTTGTGTATTATAGTAAACATCTGCAAGCGGTTCAGCAGCATCGATTCTTGCTAGCCTGACTGCTGATGACTGCTGATGAGACACTGTGTCAAAACCAGTCCAGAGCTTTGCCTCCAAATTCCTCATTGTGTTTACGGGTCATAAGTAGCACCTTTTTCGTACACCCCGACTCAACCTTTGCGTGCCAATATCGCCCTCAATAAAGTCGGCATGGGTGCACATCACAACGGAACGTCCACGCGACTCGCAGTCAGTGTGGTGCCACGACCACGTAGCAACTCCGCAAATGCCGCGATCCCCTCCCGGCCCACGCACTGAACTTACGCCCGCACGCAGCGCACCCATGTAGTGTTCTGGCGAGGGGTTGCCTGGCACCTCGGGTTTTAATCTGAGGGGCCCCTAGGGGGAGCGTCCCATGGTTTCCCGGTGCCAGGGGATTGGCCGACCCCCACAGGACAGGTTACGTTGCGGTGCCCCTAAATTGGCTTAAAATTGTATGGGCGCAAAAAGAAAAGGTTCCCCGGGCCAACCGCAATGAGTTACTCACAACATTGGGGGGAGGACGGAGGGTGGAAAATTAGGCATAAAGAGCAGACCCGAAGACTCGAACTATGGGGCACGAGAGAATAAAGGTGGGAGCCCCGGGACGATGAGTTCAGTTGTCTACAACCTCTGGGCCGTCACGACCCACTCCCTGCCTGCCGTCCTGCCTCTTCAAGCCGCTCACAGCATCCGTGTGATGCAAGTGAGTGCTGCTGTGAGACAGTGATTGGGCAAGTCTTCTCTCGTCCTTCTCCCTCTGATTCTCTCAGCGTCCGTGAGACGCCGCGAGTCCAGTTTCAAGGTACGTGCTAGGACGTTCGAGTAGCTGGGTTCATAGGCAGAATTACGCTAGGCTCTCCTTGCGAAATATTCCTCCTCCAGACAGTGTATTGGTGCCATTAATAAACTTTGGTTCAGAATATCGGTGTAGTGTGATTTCTGTGTGTGTGGGTAGAACCTCGGCGTGGTGTCTGTGATTTGTATGTAGCGCGTCTGCGCGGGGGATCGGGGTGCGTGAGAGAGCGAGCGTGGGGCTACAGAGTGTCAGCGCGGGGTTGGTAATTTGAGCGTGTGTGAGGCGCGCGTGTATTACAACATATACGGGCGCCGTTGGTTGCACGTGTTTACGCGCGTGTGTGTGTGTGTGGAAAACGTGCGCCTGCAGCGCCGCGTGAGTGGGGCGGGAGCGGGCTGCGATACACCCGCTCACTAGCGCTCGCGCGCATTTTACACCACGCGTTTACACAGCGTGTTTACACAGTAAAAATAGCATTAACGGTGAGGCGTGCCCCTATAGTCCTACCGCCGCCATTCCTTTTCCGTTAGCATTAGCATTGCGTGCACACAGATTAGGGCTTAATCACCCGGAGGGGCGCGTGCATATTCATACCGCCGCCATTTCTTTTGTTCAGCACCAGCCTGTGTGAGGAAATACACGCCTGCAGGGGCGCGCGCGTGCACGCCTCCACTTTTGTTTGTGTGGTGGTGTGATTTGAGCGCGTGGGAGATAACCCCGGGTGGTGGTGAGCCAGCCACTTAGCTATATCCCTCAGAGAGGGCGCTGGCACGGGGGGGGGCGATCACCCGATCGGCGGAGGCCCGGCGAGAGGCGGCCGACGAGGAGGAGGGGGGAGTGGAGGGGGTGGACATCGCGCCCCGCCTGCTCGCAGGGAGCGGTGAGGTGGTCGTCGGCCTCCACACCAGTTATTGATGCCACATGAATGAACGTTGCCGATTCATCAGTGATTACTGATGGCGAATATTTGAGCAATTTAGTATCGACCCGATTAGCACGGTTGGCTACGTACGGTGCGAAAAGAAGTTCAGCGTACAGTGGTGGTGCCGAGAACAAATACATTGTCCACATTTGTGCATCACTTAACACGTTATGAATTGCCTGCGCCGGGTGGAGGAGGGTTGTTACGACATACGTTTTTCTTCCGCGATCTGACCCGAAAATCGACAATACATGATGCGCTGTCATTTGGTCGCGAAAGCCGACAACGTCTGAAGGTTTGAATGTGCCGAACCAATGCTGCTGCAATGAATCTCCCCTGCCAAAAAACCGTGGGGCTGACGGGTTGTTTAAAACAATAGGTGTATAACGACTCCGACAACAAGTTATAAGAGCCACTTTTATTAAATATTTACACAATACGGAACCCTACTATAGATTTCTACGATGAGGGACCCCTAGGCTTCGTTCTTGTCTTCCTGCTTGTATCTTCCTCCGAGCGCCCCCACTCCTCGTGCTCTCCCCTTATATCTCCTTCATCCCCCTTTCTGGAACCTTCCAATCTTTACTCTTTGGTTCTTTCGGTAAAGTCACGTAGAAATAAATTCAATTAAATAATATAATACGACGTTTCGATTGCAACACACGCAATCGTCATCAGGTTCTTTCTCTTTAACGGATCCTTTTTGTTTTCCCGTTCAACCCTCATTCTCCAATTCCTTTAAAGTCTGCCTCCCGGCCAATCACCGTGGAGGCCTTTTCCGATCGGATGCCTTTGTTTATTTTAATAAAGCCGTCAGGTTGCATATAGCTGCATATGGCTTGGGGTAATTTTTCGGTCATTACACATGCACAGAATATTTCTTGAAGTGGAAAGGTAGACATATGAACGAACCTGATGAACCAAAGAGTATGGATTCCTGCAGTCACGAAAGATTCAAATCTCCATTGAACGCCAATGGCTCTTTATTGTCCACTGTGACGCGGACGGCACGTAATAATCACATTCAACACCCCCCCTCCCCCCCCCCCCATTGTTAACCGGGGTGCCTGTGAGCTTGAAGCTCAACTGTGTGTGGGACAGTTCGGGAGCGAGACCAGGAGGTGATATTTTACTCATTACAGACGTTTATTCAGCAGGACTGCGTCAAGATTCCTCCAAGACGCCCCACGATGAGATTTTGGAATCGATCTTCTACTCGCAACTGAACGAGTTGGACGGACCGAATAGCCTCTCGTTTGATACCCGTCCTGTGTTTTTGTGAACCACGACATGAAATAAACGACGAACGTGCTACCCCGAGGCCATGTCACTTGCATGTTTCCCCACGTTGCAAGCACTTTCCGCAAGGTGTGTGCTGAATTGAGATGAGCCCCGTCAAGAATGGACTTGCTCAGCGGTTAGTACAACGTTTTCAAGACACTTTTCCACTTTCAACAGGAGCTATCACAACGTCATTGTAAACCAATGGGAAATATTTGCATCAGCATGCTTACGTGATATTAGCTTGGACGGTGGTGGCCTCCGAATGTGATTCAGCACTGAGAGGCGAGGGTTGGTGGATCACTGCACAAACGTTCTGAAACTTCCATTCCCTTGGGCTTCCAGAGGTGCTGTAACCCTGGCTCGCCAGGAGATGGCGACGCAGCAAATGAGGACATCGCCTGTTCCATCTGTCCGGGGATAGAGCGTTGCTCCCTCGCACGCATTGGTTTTCTCCGGGTGCTCTGGTTTCCTCCCACATGTAAACACTCATTTATTGGCCGATAACACCTGCATATGTAGAGGACCGCAGAGCTCAGGCAATTGGTGCCGGCTCCTTACCGCCTGGCTGTCTTCCTGCCTGTCTGTAGTTCCTCGCGCCTCTGAATATTTTCTTTATTCGAGAGTGAGTGAAGACTGTGTGCATTACAAGTCAAAATGATATATATGGAAATTATATATTCTATGCGTACTGCCGGTGGCTATGCACGCTTGTAAACCTGCACTGTCAAGGCAATGGTTGGTGGATCACACAAATTCATGAAACTTCTTACCTACCCCGTGGGTATGTACAGTGAGGGGAAAAAAGTATTTGATCCCCTGATGATTTTGTACGTTTGCCCACCGACAAAGAAATGATCAGTCTATAATTTTATTGGTAGGTTTATTTGAACAGTGAGAGACAGAATAACAACAACAAAATCCAGAAAAACGCATGTCAAAATGTAAAAAAAATACTTGCATTTTAATGAGGGAAATAAGTATTTGACCCCTTCTCAGAAAGATTTCTGGCTCCCAGGTGTCTTTTATAAAGGTAACGAGCTGATATTAGGAGCACTCTTAAAGGGAGTGCTCCTAATCTCAGCTTGTTACCTGTATAAAAGACACCTGTCCACAGAAGCAATCAATCAATCAGATTCCAAATTCTCCACCATGGCCAAGACCAAGGATGTCAGGGACACAATTGTAGACCTACAGAAGGCTGGAATAGGCTACAAGACCATTGCCAAGCAGCTTGGTGAGAAGGTGACAACAGTTGGTGCGATTATTCGCAAATGGAAGAAACACAAAAGAACTGTCAATCTCCCTCGGCCTGGGGCTCTATGCAAGATCTCACCTCGTGGAGTTGCAATGATCATGAGAACGGTGAGGGATCAGCCCAGAACTACACGGGAGGATCTTGTCAATGATCTCAAGGCAGCTGGGACCATAGTCACCAAGAAAACAATTGGTAACACACTACGCCGTGAAGGACTGAAATCCTGCAGCGCCCGCAAGGTCCCCCTGCTCAAGAAAGCACATATACATGCCCGTCTGAAGTTTGCCAATGAACATCTGAATGATTCAGAGGACAACTGGGTGAAAGTGTTGTGGTCAGATGAGACCAAAATGGAGCTCTTTGGCATCAACTCAACTCGCCGTGTTTGGAGGAGGAATGCTGCCTATGACCCAAAAAAACACCATCCCCACCGTCAAACATGGAGGTGGAAACATTATGCTTTGGGGGTGTTTTTCTGCTAAGGGGAACAGGACAACTTCACCGCATCAAAGGGACGATGGACGAGGCCATGTACCGTCAAATCTTGAGTGAGAACCTCCTTCCCTCAGCCAGGGCATTGAAAATGGGTCGTGGATGGGTATTCCAGCATGACAATGACCCAAAACACACGGCCAAGGCAACAAAGGTGTGGCTCAAGAAGAAGCATATTAAGGTCCTGGAGTGGCCTAGCCAGTCTCCAGACCTTAATCCCATAGAAAATCTGTGGACGGAGCTGAAGGTTCCAGTTGCCAAACGTCAGCCTCGAAACCATAATGACTTGGAAATCTGCAAAGAGGAGTGGGACAAAATCCCTCCTGAGATGTGTGCAAACCTGGTGGCCAACTACAAGAAACGTCTGACCTCTGTGATTGCCAACAAGGGTTTTGCCACCAAGTACTAAGTCATGTTTTGCAGAGGGCTCAAATACTTATTTCCCTCATTAACATGCAAATCAATTTATAACATTTTTGACATGCGTTTTTCTGGATGTTTTGTTGTTGTTATTATCTCTCACTGTTCAAATAAACCTACCATTAAAATTATAGACTGATCATTTCTTTGTCAGTGGGCAAACGTACAAAATCAGCAGGGGATCAAATACTTTTTCCCTCACTGTATGTTGAACTTTCACATCGTACGTAGCCAACCTTGCTAATCGGTGATGCAACGGAAGGACATTAAACTCAACACAAGCAGTCCTAAAACAAAATTTTCAATCTAGATGATTTTAAAGTGCAAATCTCCAGTGGCTTCCTAACATTGGAAGAGCGTTCCAGACGGTCCCAGAAGCGTACCTGAAAGCGCGCGATGTTGTTGGCCAGCCAAAAGCCGCTGCTGCTGCTAGGATGACCAGAGTTGGCGTGATGGTTTATGATGCTCCTTGACGGCATCAAGGTCACCATCTCTTGGCTTGCCAGGGTTTGATGGCAATACGGCAAGTGGACTCACTTTCATATGTATGGGGATTGAGTGTTGCTCCCCTCGCACGCGTGAGTTTTCTCCTGCTACTTCGGTTTGTAGGGATTTTTTTTTAAAGACAGCACTGAAACGTCTTGCCCACAGCGCTGCTTGGCAGAAGGGCCTCCAATCGACAGACACTTTTAAGCTGGCCAGACGTCTTGGAAGCAGTTGGGAGTACCTACACTTTACCCTGATCGACAAACTGTGGTGTACGCATGTTTGCTGCTGGGTGGAGAGATGGGGGGGGGGGGTTAATAAACTTGCACCAATTTAGCAAACTGCCCCGCCAGAAGATCTAACCGGTGGTCTTTTACAAGGCCAGTGTGCTAACCATTACAATGGGACAGCATTCAGGTTCAGCGAAACTTTTATTTTCTATTTTACCCGGTAAGGCCCACTGAGCTACATACCTCATTTTCAGAAACGACCTGGCCACAAATGATAGCTCAACGAAGTGGCTTTTTTAATAGCAGCCAAATATTCTATAAACGCGTGGTGTCGATTATAAATGTGGAAGAGAAAACCGGAGGACCCAGAGAAAAATTCACACTACCACTGAGAGACATGCAAACTCCAAATGTACAGCAAGGCATCAGGTCAGGATTGAACCCACGATCTTCTGTGCATACCAGGCGAGGTAGTTAACATCTCATCACCGTGAATCATCTACGATTCACTCAATGCTCATATGCGCGTGGGGCGGTGCTTATGTCCAATGGTGGCCTTCGGCGGGCGGTGGATATTCCTTGTTCCCTCACGACGGTGCCCAAACTTCAACGTCGGTTGGACAACCGATGTTGACCCTCCAGTTATTCATACACGACAAGAATATCCACTCAACGCAGTTTCATGGCTGATGGAGATTCGCTGTTCATGACTGGGTTAAACACGACGGAACGTCGCTGTCGTTTTCGGCCAGGAGGTTCAGAAGTCAGAGCGCCGCGCTGTTATACTGCCGAGAGGCCTGGATTCAAATCCAGGTCTCAGCCGCCGTTGATGAAGTCTCAAGTGTTGAGGGTCGATGGTCTCTTCTCAGTAAATGCTTAATTCGGACACATTTACAGCTCGAAGGATTATAAAGTGTTTTTATTATACGATAGACATTTTACAGGCCAGGTGGGAAAATGCTTCCCTTTCTACTGTGTGGGCCAGAGGTCACGCGAAGGATTTCAGAAGTGGTTCTGCTATATCCTTTTGCGTCTCATTACATGGCACCGATGGGGCAATTGGGATAACATTGAGGGCATTTTTTTTAATTAAGGGTGGACATTTTTTACAGCCGCACCTCACGACCTGCAACCCTGTGTAGAAATGAAGACACAGCAATCCTTTCAGGTGCATCCCCAGGACCCCTTGCCATCTATCCTGGCGCCAGAGTAAAGAACGATACGATTTGTCGCAATCGAGTAAATGTGCTTCACGATGTTGAGCCTCGCAACATTACACAAAATCTTACGAGCAGTCAGGGCCACCTGTAAGTCAACTAAAACCGATGATTATGAATATTTCACAATCACAAACGATTAATAAACTTAATATCTTGAATACTTAACATCAACATTATTAACATACTTATCTCAATTCTAGATTTAAAGCTTTCGTGACTGCAAGGATCCATACTCTTTGGTTCTATTCGGTAAAGTCACGTAGGTAAAAAATAAAACAACAAAAATCACGACGTTTCGGCCACAACACAAGCGGCCTTCATCAGGTGAAGGGATCAGGCTGTGCACCCGCATGTACACCACCTCTATGCTAAGTCGGCCAATCAAATGCTAATTTTTATGCTAATTCCTTTGTCAAGGCACCTTGTTTCCTCGCACACAGCTTAAAGGTCGCGGTCTGAGCGTGGCTGTGTTTCACTCCAGCGCTGTCCTCGAGACAGCCCGATCCCTTCACCTGATGAAGGCCGCTTGTGTTGTGGCCGAAACGTCGTGATTTTTGTTGTTTTATTTTTTACCTACGTGACTTTACCGAATAGAACCAAAGAGTATGGATACTTATCTCAGCCGGACGTGCATTTGGAGTGATGACGTCACGCCGTCCATGTTGCGTGGGGGTTCTCCTCCCCGCACGTGATTGGCTGGTGCGGTGGGAATTATGACGTCCCGAGCAACGTCTCTTACGATCGAGTTACGATCTCGCTTCGATGGCCGCGTTCACTCTGACTAGCGATCCGTTTTCTCTCGAGACATTCTAGGAACGTACGCCAATTTTGTGGCATGCCCATAATTAAGACAAATCACAGTAGAATCGTCCGTACTTCAGTGCGCGTTTGTGTGTGGGACACAAGTGTGCATGGGGAGGGAGAGAGACAAACTGACACGGGAAACAGCCCTTCCGCTCGTGATAAAAAGAAAGCTTATTTTATTCTTGTTTACTCAGCGATTCAGTTATTATTCACGTTTAAGGGATATATTTCTTGTTTAATTGTCCCGCATGCAGATCATTACCACGCTAGCTAGACTAGTTAGTAGGCCTAAGAGGATGAGCTTGGCATAAAGCTTGTTTTTTTGTGCGCGTAAATACAAATCATAAATCAAAAACCAAATAAAACACAAAGCATACAAATAAAGACGGCCATGTCCTTTACGCGAATGTTTTTAGTTTTTACCACAAAATGCATCCGTGTGATCGAAAAGCTACAAGACTTTGTTATGTGAAGGTGGCCAAACGTGGCTCGTGGCAAAATGGACGCTTATTTCTCTGTCTTTGATAAATTAAGCTCAATATTTATCAGTGTTTTGTGAAAATCAACGTTTCACACAAACGGTCGTTCCCCCGTCTTCTTGATCTGCATCAGCAACATTTTTTTTACTTTTTTTATTTTCCACTAAAGACAAGTAACCCTTAAGCCACTTCTTGTTCAGCAACAAAGAAATTGACAGGTAAGTCACAGTGTCAATTCCTGATTATTTCGATTTAACTTCCGTACGTTTTTCAAGGCATTGGAAAGTTTATATCGAATGAAAGTGCATCGTTAATAACAACAATAATAACAGCAATTATAACGGCGACAAAATTAATTGTAGAACAATAATATCTAAACAAATAATCAATAATGGCAGTGGTTATTGTTTTTAAATACATTTTCATACAAGTGTTATTCTTTTTTTTTTGGTATATACAAAGAAGCATGCTGCCAAAAATCTGCAACAGAAAGGATATATTACAGCTATTTATATATAGATCATAATCAGACAACGTCATAAGCAGAGATACTTTGTTAAGTTGTGCTGTTTACACACGTGTGTCTGTACACAGATTTTGCCTGGTTCCTTTAGCAGGAGGGCACTTGGAAACGAGCAGCACATTCGGTGCCCAATATTGCTTCGTGACAACAATAGACATCATAAAAGAGGGGGCCCTGTCACATTTGTGTGTATCGTTCGAACTTCATAGTGGTGGTGGTTGGTGGTGGTAATGTTATTGGGTTTTAGTTGTCACTTCATATATTGGCCAATTGGGCATACAAGCCAAACCGGCTTGACTTTCTGTAATTCTCCGAACGTCACATATACATGCAATTGGAAGATTGTATATGATGCACAATGCCCACACACGAGGCTCTGGAAATATAGCGTATTAGTGCGGAAATCAACAAAGAGGGGGGAGGGAGTGGAAGGGGGGGGGGGGGTTAAGGGGGAGGCCTGTGGCTTGGCGTGGCGGATGATGGCCCGGATTCATCCACCACGACCAATGTGGTAAAGACGGCCGCCCATCTAATTAAGTGCCACACACTCACATGCACACCCTAACCTCATGTACAGCCCTCGGGTCCCCCCCTTCCCACAAAACCCGATAAAGTGATACTGCTCATTTCATCTTCACAGTCGCTGAATCTTAAACAAATATATCCCATTTTTCAGGGGTTGGCGATGCGCCGAGGCCCAGTGTTTAGTTATTTACAAGTATGCATCGCGGGCTGCAGCGGGTGCATCCCTTCCGTTTGGTGTGGCGAGCGGGGGGGAAGGGGGAGAGTTTTGCACAATTTCTTTTGAAAAATGCACGCCAATTGTGAACCCCACGAGGGGGGCACCATGTAACCAACCGCCCCCCCCACCCTAACCCGACTACTCCATCCCTAGCCCAGCCCCCCCCTAACCCTCCCCCCCCCCCCCCTGATAAACCAAAGTAAAAAAAAATCTCAAACTCAAATAAAAAACCACAAAACGCAACATTGCACCGGGTAAACAGTGGAACACAATGATTGGCTATCGTTTTCCGCACCCTCGCGCCGAAATTCATTCGTGACATTCCTGCCCGGTTATCACAAAATAGCGCCGCGTTTCCCCATCTCGCGTAGGGTGGGGCCCACGTATTTTAGAGGTCAATCGCAACTTGCATTAGACATTCAGAACGCATGATTTCATGCAGTCCATGTTTTTTTTTTTAACATAACGCCTCGGCATGCCTCATGCTGTTACGTGCGTGGAACGAAAACAAACAAAAACAACGCTCGCAGCCGCCGCCGCAAAACGGCGACGCGCCAGCTAGAAAAAAACAAAACGCGTCCCTCACAAACGACGGGCGATGACAACGCCAACAAAAAAAATAACCAAACACCTCCCAACCTCCGGAAAGAAAACATTCCCCGGCACTTTTACAAATGGTCGACGGCGACCGCGGTGACAAAATCAAAACGAAAAAACCTGAGAACAAAAGACGGGAAAAGAAAAAAGGACATCCAACGGCGATGGAAATTTTCACGTGAAAACAAACGTACGTGCCACCACCGCCGCCGCCACCACCACCGCCGCCGCCGCCACCACCACCACCACCCCTATCCGCGTGACTCTGTTGAACGTGCCTCATGCGCGTGGCAGCAGAGGACGCGCCGGGTAGCGTCGCGAGCGTCACAACACTCGGGGGGCCTTGCTGCTTTGGTTCCAGCGTCCGTCGTGATCCCCGTCGCCGAGCGTCCGAACGGCATCGGACTGCTCACAGCTCCGCGCCGACATTTTCGCCTTGCTAGCCGCGTACGTACACGCGCGCTCACTCGCGCACCTTGTGTCGCCGCTCCCCAGGTCTTAACCCTGGGGTGGGGGGCCAGCAGGCGGTCGTGTCACACTTGCACTTTCAAGGGAGGGCCCGTGTTGGCCGAGAGAAGTAGGTGTGGTGTGGACGCGGTGTGGAGCATGGGGAGCGGGTGATGGCGCTGGACGGGATTAAAAATAAAAATCAAAGACGGAGAGAGACGCTACGTTGAAGTGACTTGCAGCTAAAAGCAGTTTGGTGGATGGGGTGGAAGGGGTGTTGGAAGAGGGCGGCGTTTGCAGTGCTGCGCATGTGACCTCTGTCGCTGTAGTCGTGTTTCTGTAAACATCAATACGGTACAGTCTCATTTTTGCTAAAATTGATTGCCTCCCAGTGCCCCTAACCTGCAGGTAAGTTCTCGTATTTTTTGTTTATAATTATTTTCTTAAATTTGTTTTTCCCTTTGCGTTTTTTTTGTTTTCCTTTGGCACAAACGTGCACTCCGCGCTAATCCTTCTGCTGGTCTCGTTTCTCGCTCTCGTCCTTATCGGGGTCCTTGTCGTCTTTGCTCTTGTCCTTGTCGGACTTGGTGACGCTGTCGTAGGAAGGGGGGGACCCCGCCGGCAGGTTCAGCTCCTTGTCCTCGTAGCCCTGGCCGAAGTTCGCGTTCAGGTTGTCGGCGATGAGCCCTTTCTTCTCGGGCGCGTCCTCCGTGATCACGTTGCCGTCGCTCTCCTTGTTGCGGAACATGAAGGAGGCCTGCTTGACGGAGCGCTGCAGCAGGTGGCGCCGGTACGCGCGCTGGATCACCGTGGCCGCCACCTCCTCCTGCTTGCGGCGCAGCGTCGTCGTGATGGGCTCGTAGGACACCTTGGACGGGTTGGCCGTCATGAAGCGCTCCTCCATCTGCTCGCGGAGCATGTCCATCTCGCCGCCCTCGCCCAGCACGCGCTTGGTGAACGCGAAGAGGATGTCGAGGCAGTGAATGCGGTCACCGTTGACCATGGGCAGGTCCATTGTGATTAGCTTGATCCGGTTGGGCTTTGCGATGCGCAGGGGATCCTCGAGCGCGTCGGCAAAGTCCGGCAGGCGCTCGAAGTCGATGAACTGCGTCGCGTCCGGGTCGAACTTCTCCCACACCTCGTAGAACGTCTCGAAGTCGTCCTCGCTCAGCGGCTCGGCGCTCTCCTCCGTGGCCACGCTGAAGTTCTCGAGGATGATGGCGATGTACATGTTGACAACAATGAGGAAGGAGATGATGATGTAGCTCACGAAGAAGATGATGCCCACCATGGGGTTGCCACAGTCGCCGGTGTAGTTCGTGCCCGGGTTGTCAAACTGTGGGTCGCAGTCTGGCACGGCGCTGTTGAGGATGGGGTTGAGGAGGCCGTCCCACCCGGCCGACGTGGTGATCATGAAGAGGCAGATCATGCTGTTCCCGAACGTCTCGAAGTTGTACATGTCGTCGATGCCCGACTCCTTCTTGACGTAGGCGAAGTTTGACATGCCGAAGATGGAGTAGATGAACATGACGAGGAAGAGCAGCAGGCCGATGTTGAAGAGTGCGGGTAGCGACATCATGAGAGCGAAGAGCAGCGTGCGGATGCCCTTTGCCCCGCGGATCAGACGCAGGATGCGGCCAATACGAGCGAGGCGGATGACGCGGAACAGCGTCGGCGACACGAAGTACTTCTCAATGAGATCGGCCAGCATCAATCCTGTGGGGGGGGGGTAGTGTGGTAGAGGAGGGGCAGAAGGTGTTGAAGTGAAACTCGGTGGTGCAGAAGTAAAATTCGGCTCAATCGACAGGTCAAAAGGGTCAGTGTGAAGTGATTTCCTGCTACTGAGAGCCAGTGGTGAACATTCCAAATTCCTGTGATGGGGGGCGAGTCTATCCACAGGACAACCACTGCCCGATTTCCCCATAAAGTGGTAGCCATTTCACTGAACCCCCCAACCGGGATTTGATCTATTACGTAACAGGTAGGGGTCCACATACTATAACAATTTATTCAGGAAAGCCACAGCGAGTCTGAAAACTCCTTTTAGGAGGGTCCTGCTGCATCCAACACCAATTACGTTGTCTTCTTGGCGATGGCAGGAAGCCGTAGAGCCCAAAGGAAACCCATTCAAAACACGCGGGGAGAAAATACAAACTCCACACAAGACAGCGCGCCCGATTTCGGAATCGAACGCAGGATCTTCTTGCTGCGAGGCCACAAGTCACCACTGTGCCATCAGAAGTCAAACAGTTCAACTTTACGGATGTACATGATTAAATAAAAACAACGCACGGTCATTTTTTTAATCGACTGCCGGATGAAGTCCCCTGCCATTACAGTGTCGGTCATTGGAGGGATGTTTGACCATACTTACCCGGGATGACCCACTTCCGTTTGAAGTGACAGGGTGGTGGGCAGTGGCAAACACTTGTGCCTCACGGCACAAAGGGCCCCCCCGGGTTCGATCACTGACTGGAGGCACCATGGAGTCTTTATGTTCTCCCCCTCTTCTGCATGGGTTTCATCTGGGTTCTCAGATTGCCTCCCATAGCTAAATAAACGCACGACGTCACTCGTATTGAACTAATATCCCGATGCTGAATTATTACCTGCAAACTACTCAATTGGGATCAACAAATAACAACGTCACCCCGTCCCCCCTACTACCACGAAAGTTAGCAGGACCCACCTGAAAAAAGAGTCTTGGGACTCGGTGAGGCTTTCCTGAAGTGGAATGATGGTAATAATAACAATAATAACCGTCTACGTCAGTGGTTTTAACCTGGGGTGCACCCACCCCCGAGATGCCCTTTCTGGGGGTGCTAGACATGCCAGATTTTCTTTAGAAGAGAAATCATCGAAAACAAATTAAGAATGGGCACGTAAGTACAACTCCTTTGTGTCATCAAACCTAGGTATTTATTAACATAAAACATTTCACAATTTAACCTTATGGCGGGACCCTGGGGTCCCATAAGCCACCGGCTCTCGCATAAACTGCGTTGAGACGTCATTTTATGTCTGTTGAAGGCGAACGATAGGGCAATCTATTCCTCTCGCCGAGCTCTGCACGATGCGCTAATCACAGTTTCAAAGTTTTGTTTCATGACTATGGCAATTTTGCCAACGACGGGTGCTTGGTGAAGAACGAGAGGATTGATTTCGGGTGGGTCGTGGCGTTGATGTGCGCAGTGGGACGGAGTCGCCAAAAATACATAAATTAATTACGATTTTGACTTCCGTTTATTTGGGACCCCGGGGTCCCACCATAAGGTTCAATTGAGAACCAAAGGGGTGGAAGGCTCCAGTAAAGGTTAAGAACCACTGGTCTACGCCTCCCTAACCAGGCCGTCTCCACAGCTCCCACTGACAGCGCTGATACGACAACAGAAGGCGCCCATGAGACAGAGGTCTTCCTGTGAGCGTAGGCTGCGAGCGGTAGCTCGAGTCAGCTTGCCCCCCCGCCCTTCGAACTGATTCGCCGGCCTGAGTGCCAACCACGTGCGGGAGCGCTACGCGAGGCGAAACGTCTCAGAGCCGGCGAGAGGGAGAGCGTGCATTCACCCCCACTAGCAGAGCGCTTGGGCCGCTCCGCCGAAGTCGGTGAAGCCGTGCCATCTAATTTATTCAGACGATTAACATCCAGAAACGTACGTGTGCTGAACTTCTTTCGCACCGTACATAGCCAATCATGCTAATCGGTGGTGCGGGGAGGGGGGGGGGGAAGGACCACAAACTAAACACAAAAAAAGCAGTCATGAAGAAATGCGTTTGTCAATCTAGAGGATTTAAAAGTGCGCAGCTCCAGTGGCTTCCTTATATCCGAACGAGAGAGACAGAGAGAGAGAGGGCGAGAGGTCGTCCCCACCACGCACTCTGCCAGCGGCCCCAGCACGCACTCTGCCAGCGGCGACGTTGGTCAATCACCAGCGTCGCCGCCGCCGCCATCGCCACTCACCCAGGATGGACAGGATGACCACGACAAAGTCGAATACGTTCCAGCCGACGGTGAAGTAGTAGTGGCGCAGCGCCAGCATCTTGCAGACACACTCGCCAGTGAAGATGACGATGAAGACCATGTTGACCTTGTAGAGCGTGTTCTCCATCTCATCGCTCTGGTCGTCCGTCTCCACCATCATGGTCACCATGTTGAGGCAGATGAGGATCATGATGGCAATGTCGAAGGCCTGTTTCATCACGAAGTCGAACACCATGCCCTGGAACTTGTTCTGTCGGCCGCAGACGGGAACAGGAGAGAGGGGGTGGGGGGGACGAGGCGGTTACCGGGCGATCGTCGCACAGCAGCGATCCACTTCCCTCCTCTGGGCTGCTCGGAGGGAGGTTCCTGGAGGCCCTGAGTAGGATGCCACATGGAGCACCCTCTGACCCCCCTCATTCATTCGCGACAAAAAAAAACAGACGCATTGCGGGCGGCCCTTTTTTGTGTGCTGTGTGTGAGGCAATGAATTGTCACAATTTTGAGGTGGACATGGGGTGAATGGCAGAGATGACTGGCAAATGCACCACGTGTGTTTCTCACTGTGCCATCTGTGTTCTAGCCGCCCGTGCTCCGCTCATTGTTGTGAGTGCCGTCCCTCCATCATTGTTGGAGGGCGACTGCCTCCAACTGCGTTGTAGCCTTTTTCACGAACCTCCTCCACAGAGGCTGATTTTTACATCGCTTGTACCAGTCTTTAGCAAGTCCACTCAGCTCTACATCCTCCTGTACCACATCAGTGCATCTCTTCTCGAGCCCGTGCCGTACCCGTTTATCCCCCTCCGTCCGGCCAAATAGAAGCCACTTGGGCATGCGGTGTGGCTGGGCATGCGGGCTATGTCACCCAGCCAATGCAGCCTCGCCTGCTGGAGGAGCTCACCGATGGGACGTGTACAGGTCTTAAGGATCTCTGAGCTCTTCACACCGTCGAGTCTGGTTTAACCCAGGATGGATCGTAAGCAGGTCGGCCATTACAGCAACACCTGCACCGGCTTGAAGCTCACGCTCTCCATACACAAATGCCCATACGCACACAGCCCTGTGGGAGTCTGATGAACCTACCATGGGCCTCGGGATCGGTTTTTGAGGCTTCTTGGAGCCCAGCTTTTTCATGGCATTGTAGTATTTCTTCTGCTCCTCCGTCATGAAGATATCCTGACCTCCAAAGTGCACAGCCCGGCAACAGGAACGTGGTTACAACCAAGCACTGCCCACGTGTACAAACAGCTCCCATTAAGGATAGAGCTTGACAAAGTAAGAATTTCGATTGATCAGGTTGCTACAATGGCTTCAGCAACTCAACGAGCATTGCATTACATTTCAACCAAACCAATGCCATGCTGCAGTCTAGCCAATAAGGGGACACCCCCAGTCGCAGCTGTCCCTGTGCGGCACAAGGTGTACGCAGGCACCGGGCCTGCACGTGCGCTTCAGTCGGTCACAATAGGGACAATGTCGCTATGTGGCTTTTCCCAATAAAGTAATTTGTGAGTAAGCTATTACATTTGGCGAATTCGGAACCATGGCAAACGTGTTCGGTTGGAAAGTCTAAAGGGAAGGGGTTTTTTTTTGCTTTGATTTTAATTCAGTAAGCTGCGTCGTGATATTAGTACGTGCAGGCGGACACTACGACGTCACAACGACGTCGTGGTGTCACAGCGTCTGTACGTGTGACCGCTGATCTCGACATCTCACACCTCTTCATCTCAACACATTTGAAAGGGGGGGACACCCTGCCCTCTCACAGCTCTTATCAAAAACAAATGATTGTCGTCATCGTCATCATCATCATCATTATTGTCTACGTACAGCTCTGTTTGTCAATCCATGGCTGGATGAAGGCCTCCGTGCATCATGTGGGGGGGGGGAGGGATTATTTTACCATACTTCACCACGCTGGTCAGTGCGGGTTGGCAAAGGCGGAGAGCAGAGGAGTGCAGTGCAACACCAAATTTCAACGCACTGTTTTTCTGCCGCCTACCGCGTATCCCCGCAGCCTATAGCACCTATTACGCACGTCGGTCACCCCCATCCATACACGAATACCGAGGGTCAAGCCCGCTCAGCGGCCCAAGATTCTGGACACTTATCTTTTTCTTCTGCTGGTTGAAGTTGTCGATGATGACACCGATGAAAAGGTTGAGTGTGAAGAAGGAACCGAAGATGATGAAGATGACGAAGTAGATGTACATGTAGATGTTGCCCTCGTAGACAGGCTGCAACTCCACCTGCGCCCCACAACGCAGACGGGAGGATACGGCGGACAAACGGAACGTCGGCATCGACAGGCAAAAGACGGAGCTCGACAGGATAGACAGAAAGAGACGGGTGGCCAATACGCCTCCTCGTTCACACACCAAGGATCCAGCACCGCCCCCTGCACCGACGATTCACAGACAATGGATCACGTGATCCAGCACCGCCCTCTGCACCGCCGATTCACAGACAATGGATCACGTGATCCAGCACCACCCTCTTCACTGTGGATTCACGGGCAATGTCACAGGCACCCAGCAAGCTTCCGCAGGGGCTACTGGTTGGCTTGATGACCAGGATATCCACACAGATAATGCTGCTAAATTCACCTTGCCATACAAAAGATAATTATAATAACTTCAACTTTTAACGCTCACCTCACTCTCAGAGGGACAGTGACTCGGAGGTGCGAGGAGAAACCACGGACAAGCAGAAAGGGATCCACGGGGTGAGCCGGCGGCCAACAATTAGTAAAGCTCTACAAGTCCTCTTAATGAGTGTGAATGAGATCATGATGACTATTGTGAAGATGATCCAATAAAACATTTTATTTTTGTATCAAAAACCAGTTAAATTGATGAAAGAGTTGTGAACTGGTCATACAACCAGTACGAAATGAATGAGCCATTCCAGCCAAAGTGCTAATGTCACATCTGCATGCTTTTTTTTTCCTTGTTGCAGCCGGCACCACTTACATCTCTCGAGTCGACCGCCGCGTACATGATGTCCATCCAGCCTTTGAAAGTGGCCTGAAGTGAAATTACACGAAGACAACAATCAGCCGAAAAACGAAAGAAATAGTCACGTGAGCACAAACTTACAGAAAATAACACCAAATAGTGGCTGTCACCTGTTAGTCTCCACCAACGGCCATCATCTCTTCTAGCAAATGATGTGGGCACCAAGGTGGCGAGATGTTAACTACCCCGCCTGGTATACAGGAGGTCATGGGTTCAGGAGGTCATGGGTTCGATCCAGACCCTAACAACTGTTTGTTTGGAGTTTGCATGTCTCTCTCCCTAGTGGTCGGGTGGATTTTTCTCCGGGTCCTCCAGTTTTTCCCTCCACATTTAGAAACATTCCACACAATAAGCCACTTCGTTGAGCTGTCATTTGTGGCCAGGTCGCTTCTGAAAAAGAGCGCTAGAGCTCAGTGGGCCTTACCTGGTAGAATTAAGAGAGGTAATAGTAACAGCGTGTCCGTCTCAAGCCCACATACTTAGGGGCCATCCATGAATGACGTCATGCGATTATGGACGATTTTTGACCCCCCCCCCTCGTCACACGGCGTTACTAAAAGTCAGACCCCCCCTCAAATATGACGTCACAAAGCTCTGCCCTCCCCCCTCCCAAAAAAAACACATGCTTCAAATCGCTTTAAACTATTGTCATTGTAGTGCGTATTTAATAGGGCGCTGCACTCTGATGTTTTAGGAGAAAACATTTATTAAAAAGTCTATTTGATTAAGTAGAACGTGTTGTCTATATTTATTTAGAGTTGCACATTTTGATGTGACGTCACATTTCTCAACCCCCCCCTCCGTCACACATCGTCACAAGTGTCTGACCACCCCCTACGTGCGTGACGTCATTTATGGACGGCCCCTTAACAGTCAATATAACAGTCGGGTCGTCGGCTTGTGGTAGGAAAGCTATGCTGTTGCCTGCTGTATGTATTTGATTATCTATCTTTCGTTACCTTAATTCAACAGGGAAGTTCAACCGATGTAGGCCCCACCCCTTCCTGACCAGTCCCCGTCAAATCATCCTCCTTCAGCCCTGCACCTTTCCTTTTTAGGACCCGCCCCTTCTTCTGTAGGCCACACCTCTTTCTGTTGATCCACCCCCTACCCCCGGACAAGGGGTGGGGCTGATTTGTGTCGTGGTGTTGGGGGTTGTAAAAGAGAGGCGGAGTGGATGTGCAGCAGTAATTGTGGTGAGCGGTAGTGTAGTAGCGGTTAGTGCCCTGCGCCACAAACCCGGTAACCCGAGTTCTATTAACGCTCACAGACAACACCGGTGACATAAATCTGAACCGGTCCTGGGCCTCCCCTAGGTCGACTCAGCCTCAATTGAGTACCAAGTGTGACGTGTTAAAATATTTCCACTAGAGAGACAAAGGCGACCAGGTGTGATGCTGGCCACCCACCCACTCGTGTGCCGTGCTCGCCAACAGCAGTTGCCCCAACAGTCTCTTCAGGCTAGACAGGGGATCTTTGTGGTGGGTGGGATCAGTAAGGGTGTGGCAGCGTCACGATGACGACGAAAATCCCTTTTGGGGCAGCAATAGAACAACAACAGATGTCTCTGAAATTGTTTTCTGATGCATGCGTCCGTCTCCAAGTCGCTCAGCGTAATTCCACCACGCGTGCACACCTCTCCACACTTATACGCGCACTTTTGATCTTTTGTCCCGTTTTCTTGGTCAGCGTCTGTGCCGTTTCTGGTCCGTGTGCGTCACAGCCAGGTGATGCGTGCCGATTAGTCAAGTACTCAGACGGTCACTCCCACAACTGGGGGGCATCTGTCGGAGGTAACGCAACCAGAATTATATGGCACGTTTGTCAATAGCACCGTGTGTGGCCTTAACAGAAAAAATATATAATCAGCGAGGTTTTGGGCAATGGACCTTCATGTGCTGCGAAGAAGAGCCCTGCTCAACAGGTTCCGTCCATGTGCGGCCAATCTCCATCTACATCTGGGGCCAAATGCGACCACGGCCCACTCTGTGGACGTGGTCAGCGACAGACTGTCGTGTCATCTCACACTATCCACGAGTGCCCTCTTGCCTCCACTGACCGGACTCGACGGTGGCCTCAGGTGGCCTCGGGGGAGAACTCGGATGGGCTCAGGGCCTTCCCTCCACGCTGCTCAACAAACTGCCAAACGCGCGCCGCCAACCCACCCAACCCTCCCTCTGCAACTCTCCGCGCCCCCCCAACTTACCACCTGCAGCAGCGCCAAGTACCCCGAGCCCACGTTGTCGAAGTTGATCTTGACGTTGACCCAGCGCAAGTCGCCCGAGGAGTTGACGTTGATGCAGTCCGAGTGGTTGTTGACCTGCGACAGCAGCATCATCTCGCCGTCCGTCGTATTGACGCACTTCCAGTACTTGCCAGCGAATAGGTTGACGCCCATGATGCTGAAGATGAGCCAGAAGATGAGGCACACGAGCAGCACGTTCATGATGGAGGGGATGGCTCCCACCAGGGCGTTCACCACCACCTGGAGCACCGCCCCCGCCCACCGAGCCGAGCCGGTGGTGCCGGCGTTGTCAACGTAGGAGAGCGTGTTCGTGATGGCGGCAGCGTGGTGGTGGTGACGGCGGCATGCGGTGGTGACGGGTGCAGTAGATGGTTGTGGGCATCAGTTGTTCCGTGGAATTCGCCCATCCGTCCGTCCGTCGGAAGGTCATCGGGGAAAAAGCAGAAGGCAGAGACTTTAGCAGGAGAGCGATGGCGTGTCGCACGATGCTGGGCGGCCCTAACCAGCCTATCAGAGGAGCAGAGGGCGTGTTCACGAGACACCACATTGGGACACTTCTACACATAGACAGAGTCTCGCTAATTATATACTAAACTACCATTATATATCATTATGATTATTGCGACATACGAAACTAAAATTACATTACACATGATTGTCATTGTATAGAAAAAAATATATTAGTAGGAATTATATACTAAAGTTGTATACTAACTTATTAATCATTATCAACTAAACTGTACATTCACCGATCCGCATTGACCAGCGTGGTGAAGTATAGTCAAATGACATTCCCATAACCGGTAACAGCCTGGGTGGGCCCTTCATCCAGCGGTGGCAATTATCGCTGTATGAAACTATAATGACGAACTAAGTTATCGTCAGAAACAAGCTGCGATTAAGCCCCGAGCTCTGATTGTGCTGGTATCACAATGTGGGAAGCCAACAGTAATCAGTAGCTGTTAAGTACCGGCGACTCAACGGCTCCAATATTTATTTATCGTTTCACCCAATTTAATACAGCGACTATGCTGGCCGCAAAGAACAAATAAATAACAAATCCCTCGCTGCCGTCATCATCGTTAACCCTACCTTATGCTAGAATTTATATTATTACTTTTTAATGTACACCACTTTCAGATATTACGATATGACAGACTCTTTATTATCACTATCATAAAATGACACTGTTGGCCGATGTATTGGGCAGTGGCCTCTTTAAAAATATATATATATAATGGATTATCATTACTATTTGAAAGGATGTCTTATTAATTTTTGTTTACGATTGGCTGTGTCCCAACCTGATACCAGATGAATTCCCCGGCAAGGATTTTGCCCCCAGAAAATGTAAAAAAAAAAATTGGTGCCAAAATGTGAGTGGTGCAAACGTATCAATTTGCGCGCCACGAAATTGCACGTTTGAAACGTTGAGCCAAATGGACTGTGTGCCACGAATTCACGATCACCTCTTGCACTACGGGAATAAATCCGTCAATTAATTGGAAATATAATTTTGGTGGGCCATCTCTGTGCGCATGGCACAGTACACGGCACCACCATCGCCGCTGCCACAGTGGCGGCGGCGGCAGGAGTCATGCCCTGAGGCAGCATGTTTGATTTACCATCGCTGAAACTTTGCAGAGATGCAGGTGGCAAATAATTTTGTCGGGGCTGAATACGGCCACGTGAACGAACGGGGCCTGCGACACATGCCAACGCCGAGCCTGGCCAACGCAAACCGCGGAGGCCAGTGCACTTCAAATTTATGGCAGCCGTCCTAAAATGTCAAATTCGTCACAAGCTCGCCCTTGGAAAATACCGATCGTTTCCTAAAAATATATATCTACAAACCTCAAGCATGCCCCTTGAGATCATCTCGTGAGCTTTGTTGAAGTTTTTAGTTTGTTTGGCAGAGCCAAAACGCCAAGCCAAACGGCACTGGCTGTCTAAAAACGGTACATCTCAAAGTGCCGTCTGCAAAGTCTCAGATTTTTTTACATCACATTTATCCACATTGCACACACGTAGTATATATACAGTTTCAGTATATTTATTTCAGTTTATTTATTTTGGTATAGCCCTTTATATCTACAGACAGTAAATATAAAGTCTGATTCCTCTAAACCACACGCTGCGTAAATTGTATATATGTATTCAAATTGCTTCAATGTCTACGAACAGCACTTTCCCCAACATTATGTTATGGCTACATGGGGGATCTTTGTCTATATCAGACACACGTGCACGTTGAAGCAGCATGCTGTGAGCTAAAACGTGAGGGTTAGAGGAGAGGACTCGAAAGCATCTCTAGGAATCTACATTTAAATATTAGTTATTCACCATCGTTGTTGTAGTAGACGCTTCTTGAACATTTGCGCGGTGCGAATGAACGAGCACGGCTTTCGTTGTTTCTTATTAAAATATCCAACACCGTCGTTCTTAAACGATCGGATGGGAGGCCAAAACGACCCGAGACTGGTGTTCTCGTCCCAAGCTTCTACCACAGCAAGTATGGTGCGAGTATTTTACATATCTATATACCAACACACGCACGACACACTGGGGAAGAGGTCAGGCACGGGGGGGGGTTCAGTCACCGTACACAGTTATAGATATATAAAATACGCAGTCGATGAGTAAGAGGGTGAACCTGGCAAGCCGTATGACGATGTGCGCTTCAAGCCACTCGCGACCGATCGGGCGTCGGTAACAAATGGACGGGCGACTGCGTCCATTCAAAAGGGTGCGACGTCTTTACAGAGGCATTCGGGGTGGGTTGTTTTTTTTCATTGTAGATTTAAAGAAAAGGTGCGGGGCCGGGCGGCGTAGTTTAGTGGCCGGGCGTGTGACTTACTAAGCGCGTGGGGTTCCCGCGGTCGCGCCGCTGCCGCGCGCCCTCTTCCAATGCTGTTTTTACGTTGGTATCGCGCGCCGTTTTTGGCACGAGGTCCGACGTTTCGCTCCCCTTGCCAAGAGCTTTTTACTGAGTTGAGCTGTGGGAGGCCAATTCCTTCACTTCCCAAAGAATATAAAAAAAAAATTCCCCCCAACTCGATGCAGTTGCTGAAGAAGCTCCCACCGGTAAGTGGAGCGAAATGACATTGTGTCAGAGGACGACGCACGGCACGATGCGGACGCTGCATCGGTGAGCTGCGCAACGGCGCGACCACGGACACCCACGCGCAGTTTCACCAAGACGCTCGCCCCGCCACTGCACTGCCCAGCCAGTTTTATTCTCTTAAACTGCACTCGTAAACGATTTTTTAAAAAATTTACTAGGTGAAGGCACACTGAGCGATGTAGCTCTTTTTCTGAAGCGACCTGGCTATCACAAATAATATCTCAACGAAGTCACTTGTCACGTGGAAATTTAGAGCAGCCAAATACTCGAAAGTCATGTTGATTCTAAATGTGGAGGGAAAAACCGAAGGACCCGGAGAAAAATCCACGCGACCATGGGGAGAACACGCAAACTCCAAATGTACAGGTGTCAGGGTCAGGATTGAACCTACGACCTCCTGTATACTAGGCGAGGTAGTGAACATCTCGCCACCATGGCGCCCTAAATTTGATCTGAATAGATTATCGTGAACGTCACATCATTTAGAATTCTCTTTACCTGACGCGAGTGTATATAGAATTTTAAGCCACCCGCCTTTGAACAGTGGGCGAATAATTAACAGAACTCCACTTCTGCGCCTCCACGTATGAAAGTATATTTCAGGCTACCAGTCTATTGGCTTTTCCCACCACCAAAATTTACAAAACGGCATTTGTTTGTGGATTCTTGATCGGTTTCGATCTCTCTGGGTCTCATCAATCAGGCCCATTGAACAAATACTGCCGGATTCAAGCAAATAAAAATAGATTTGTATACAAAGTATGGACGACGCAGACCAGAGTTCGGCCTCATGTTTGCCCACGGCCGTTATGAATTCATGGCGACAACACAAGTATGCGTGTGCCTCACAATAACGACAAGCTGAACGGATCAAACGATGTCCGTTCTTCTCGAACATTCATCGTCTCCCAATTCGGTTTGCATCCCTTGTGAACAAATCCTCTGCCTCGGGAATGGACGAAGAAATCAAGAAAACAAAACCAAGCGCGTGAAGCCAACAGGTATAACAATAATTATACAATAATAATACAAATTAAAGATAAAGTGAAGAAAGGAACAAAAAGTGTTTTTGCAAAGCACATTGTGAGCACTTTTAGGGGTCTTTAGGGGCCATGCACAGAGTTCCATGGGAACTGTCCCAAGTTCGTGGGCAAGCAGACCATACCAGTGTTGCCAGACAAGAGGGATCATAACCTCTATCTTAATGAGGAGAAACCAGAAGGAAACTTCTAGATTTGTAAATACCACGCTACATGTTACGCTACGCAATTACCCAGGTACAGTCCTCTATAGAGTCCTCCAGTTTGCGGATGTCCAACCAGACTTTTTAAAACAAGTGAAGACTAACTTCTCAATGAGCAAAGCTACACGACCAATCGCGACAAGTGATTTCCAGATGGGTAGGAAAACTACAAGGACGCCCAGTCACAGACTAATGATCCAATTTATAAGATCGCACTAATTACACACAACGTGCTCGCCACAAATAAACCCCAATACCTTGCTGATCTCGTCAAGGAGCATAAACCATCATCACGCGAATTCCGGTCATCCTGGCAGCAGCTTTTGGCTAACCATCAAACAAAACGGTCAATGCATCAAAGTGTACCTAGCCTGCGGCACAAGCGCTGCGGTGACATCACTGCCACTTAGTGTGCGAACGGTGGCTGTTGTTGTCGCGTTTGTGTGTATCATAAACACACGCACTTTGACACTGCACGTGACCTGAAAGTGCTCATAGCCTGCCACTTAGTGTACATGTTCTGCCAAATCTCAACCGTGTTAGTCACCACGACACCGTACTAATGACAAACGTGACAACCGTTTTTGGGTTGGTAAAGTTTTGGTGGGTGGGAGTGATGCCACAGTGGTTAGCGCACTGATATCACATCGCAGCTGTGATTTTTGAGTTGTCCAAATCGTCTTCGTAGGCCTTAACGACCAATATTATTGAGATTCATAATTAGTTTCATTTTTGTGAGATCATGGTCCGGTGTAAATTGTATGTATATTAAACTTCTTTTGCACCGTATGTAGCCAACAATGCTAATTGGAGGTGCGGGGGAAGGATAACAAACTAGCACACAAGAAGCAGTTCTAGAGAAATTAGTTTTTTAACTAGATAAAAAAGTGTATAGCTGCAAGTGGCTTCCTAACATTGCTTAGGAAGCCACTGGAGCATTCCAGACGGCCGCAGAAGCACAATTGATGTCAATTGTTTAACTATAGCCCTCCACTACCCAGCGACAGAGAGCAAATAGATTTTGTTATTTTTATTTTACCAGGTAAGGACCACTGAGCTATGTAGCTCTTTTTCAGAAACGACCCGGCCACAAATGATAGCTTAACTAAGTGGCTTATCATTTGGAAATGTTATAGCAGCCAGATGCTCTGAAAGCACGTCGATTCTAAATATAGAGGGGAAGAACCAGAGAAAAATATACGCGACCACGGGGAGAACACGCCAACTCCCAATATACAGCAGGCGTCAGGGTCAGGATCGCACCCATGACCTCCTGTGTAGGAGGCGAGGTAGTTAACAACTCACCAATGTGGCGCCCACACAATCAAGTTGTCACGTCGTGGGAAAAATACATGCCAATTTGTTTTGTTTATCAACGATACTGGGGGAGAGGTAGGAGGCAGAACGTTGAAAAGCCAAAGCAACATCTTTTGATAATTTTCATACAAAAAATATATAACGTTTGGCAAAGTCTTGCTTACGTTTTTCAACATTCCTCCCCCACCTCATGCTCCAATTTTACCGATATCTTGATCAATCGGCGCGTGTTACTTTGCCCACGGTGTGACAACTTTCATTTGATTGCCTCTGCCGTTGTTGGTTGCTGGAGGTCTACAGTTCAACATTGATGTCATGTCTACGTGACGATCTAACCCAAGATAAAAACAAACTAATTAGAAATCACACAGTGGTTTTTGTTGCGATTTTTAAAATCTGTTGCAATAGCCATTTCAGTAACCCCCAGCTCAAGCCCCTATCCTGGTTCTCTCGACTTCACGCCTGGTTAAACAAAATCAACCTTGAACTCAACTTATGGTCCGGAGCATCTTTAATCTGCCAACGGATTTGACAAAAACGCCTTCTCCTCTCCAAAACTATAGCTAGTTTCGCCTCTGAAGACAAAAAAAAACTCGCTCTTTAAAAAACATTGCAGAACTCCCCCCCCCCCCACCAACTATCCCCCACCCCGTGCACGCACACTTACTCGCTCAGCCGCCCTCTCATTCGCTCGCCCTCTCACTCGCACATTCACTCGCTCTCTCACTCATGCAGTCATACGCTCGTCCTCTCACTCTCACTCGCTCTCACTCATGCGCTCGCCCTGACATGCGCACGCCCTCACATGCGCACGCCCTCACACAAACTTTTCTTTTGTGACCAGGACAGTGATATTTTGAAATTTACCTATTTTCCAGAACATTCCAGATAGATTCAGTGCTGAGTAAACTTGGTTTAACTTCTAGGGTGGTGGCAACCGTGGTGGTGGTGGTGATGGTAGCGGCAGTGGTAATTGTGGCAGTGGCGGCAGTGAAGGTGGTGGTGATGACGGTGGTGGTGGCAGTGGTGGTGATGACGGTGGTGGTGGCAGTGACAGTGGTGGTGGTGGCAGTGACAGTGGTGGTGGTGGCAGTGGTGGTGGCGGCGGTGGTGACGGTGGTGGCGGCAGCAGCAGAGATGATGACGGTGGCTCCGTGGGCTGCAAGTGAAACCGAGCGGTTGCATTGTTTGCATTGCCGACCCAAAATCAACCCGCGAATCAGAAAACACACGAGAGGCAAGGAACTCCCGTCGTCACAGCCACGTCCAGCAGACATTCGCGGAGCCCCATCGTAGCAGCTGTGGTGTAGACCATGCCGTACACGCCTTTAACCCGGACACAACCACGCTGCTGTGCCCAACGAATGAACTCCGTGCCTTACTTTCAAATGTCACGACTTAATCGGAGCCATTTTCCTTCCCTCAACTTTTCCCTGAAATTCCCCTTTCGCGTATCCCCTTCCTCTATTTCTCTGGCCGTTTAATAAATTAATCCGATATTATAATTTCAAAATGAGTGTTAAGTACTGCTACTTATGACTGTTACAGCGGTTCTTCTGCAAGCTTCCTCTCAAATCACATTCTGCTCGAGGGTTTTGTTTTACTAATCGAAGGAGAGAATGATTCCCTATGATTCGTTGTGTACCAAGATGGCATTTGTTTAAAAAGCGGAAAGAAAAAAAGCTGCAAACACTTCCTCTACCAGAACGTTGGGCATTCTACACCGCTCCGCCCCCCACAATCAAACACGGTATTGCAATTCAGCAAAACAGAAAAAGGCAAAAACAACAAAATCAAAATAATAAAAACCTAACCGTTAACGAGTGTTCGCTCATGGAGGGAAGCACCCAAGGCCATTTGCAAGACGACACACGAAGCCCAACTGTACTGGAATTCTACAAAACAACGTTAACCCCCAACCACAATGGCCCCTCTCACTATTGTACAATAACAGTGCGCCACTCAAATCTATGAGGTGCTTGGGGTGGGGGGGCAGGGTGGGAGGACAAGGGGGTGGGGGTTAATAGAAAATAGGAAGCTTTTGGGAGTGAGGAAAAATAAAATGTAAAATCATTTTCACCCACGACCTGTCTCCTGTCTGAGCAGGGCGCGTGAAATGATCGCAAGCAGCCTTGGAATGGAGGAAGAAGGTTTGGAACTCCGGGGGTGGGGGGGGGGCAGAGCAGAGTCGCAACAAGCCTTGGGAAACATTCAGAGATTCTCGCCATCGAGAGAAGCATCTCCCAAAAGCAAGTAAGGTGGGGGGGGGGGTGTCGTGATTTAGAAGGGGTTTGGCAGGTCGGGGTTGTTTCACAGAATCGCGCGCCCACACCGGGGAGGTTGGTGCCAGGAGGCAGTCACCAGTTGGTCCAGCCCTCGCCTTCCTTGCCTCGTCAGGGGGGGGGGGGGTTACCGATCATTTAAATTAAACTAAGCTATTTATATTACCAGGTTAGGCCCGTTGAGCTATGTAGCTCCTTTTCAGAAGCAACCTGGCCACAAATGATAGCTCAATGAAGTGGCTTATCACGTGGAAATTTATAGCAGCCAAATACTCTAAACGCATGTTGATTCTAAATGTGGAGGGAAAAACCAGAGAGAGCCATGCAGACTCCAAATATACAGCAGGCGTCAAGGTCGGGATCGACCCCAAGACCTCCTGTATACTATGCGAGGTAGTTAACATCTAGCCACCGCAGTGCCGGTGGATGCGGTCGATCGGCGCCTATCGCCGCCGAGCGAGACGACTCAGAACGTGCGGGTTATCGCACGGCAGTTGGGTCAACATCCGGGGAGAGGAGGGGTTGGTCACCACCTCCGAGGTAGGAGAACCGTGGAGCCATCTCACGGGAGGAGGAATATCTTACGACGCCAGGAGAAGGGGGAGAACTACATGCAAGCGAGGTTGTCTCCAGCGAGGGTGTGTGGTTATAATTATTACACAATTTACAAAACGGGGGAGGGGGGTACTTATTCAATTGATGGGACTATCCCAGGAACAGCCACTGCCTCAAAAACGCAGGGGCTTGATCTGGGAAAAGCAGCCAGCAGGGAGCCAGGTGGCGGTTGCCTGCTGCTGGAGGATTTGACGCTCGCGTTTCGGAGAGGAGTCCCGTGGAAGCTGCGAGTCTGTGAAACCACCCGCCCAACCCCCCCCCCCCCATCTTCCCATTTCCCCCCCCCTCGTTCGACGAACGACGGGAGTCAAGCGGTGCTGGACAGGGGGGGGGGTGCGGTACGCGAGCTCGCGTGGGGAGCAGGGGGAGCGGGGGGGAAGAAGGGGCGGGGGGCCAGGAGAAATCGTGTGCTTACAGAGACCGCATTCGGTCGAGCCGACAGCCCTGCTCATGGATGGATCACCATTCCCGCATGCGACGCTGCAAAGTGGCGAGCGGGGGAGGGGGGGATGTTTTTGTATTTTTTTGCGATTTTTTTTACTTTAAATGTTTTTTTGTTCGCTCGCTTTTGTCTTTAAATTCAAATCGGGTTTTTGTTGTTGTCGTATCATGCAGGATGACGTGTCACGGTTCGCTCTTACCCTCATCCCTTCAAACCGCGACAAGGCCCTTAGAGGTCTCAGTGCTCTCAGAGTCCTAAGGGACTTAATAGCCCCTAGCTCCGAGTAGCCCAGTGCATTAGCTGTAAGACTGACTAAAGACACCTACACAGAGAACAAAACAGCAACAGTCCAGCGCGTTAGCATTATCGGAAGAATTCCTTCTGCCCAACACCCACAGCCTTGAGCACAAAATGGCGCGCCAGAATTAAGGCCTTGTGCTATTTCGCTTAAGGCCCTGGGCATAGGAGGCCGCACCTTTCCGGGGCAACCTGGAAAGCAAGGAAGGTAGGAAGGAAGGAAGAAGTACACAGGGTAACTGGTCGTCGTCGTCGTTTTTAAACAAAAAGAGGCCAAGAGACAGAGAGGATGGCGGCACACGACGCACACAAACGGACACAGCTTGAGTCGGAGTCGGTGGGCAGGGATAAGAGAGGAAGCACCACGACAAACATCTAGCTACGACTGTGCTTTTTAAGGAGGTGAAAAGTCCTTACCCTGTCGAGTTTTGCCTGAGAGGGGAGCGGAGGTCAGCCAGGGGCCATAAGGCCCAGAAAATTAACCCACAAAAATTAAACGTACCTACGAAACAGAATAACAAACGATAGTGCGAACACCTGTTGTTACGCTGTTATCGATTGTGAACGGCACGCAGCGTTACATTGACATCGCAACGCCGCCCGCGCAGCACACCAGGGCCTCCTCTCCCGCTCCCGCTCTCTCTCGCTCTCGGCGCATCCCTGCAAAGAAAGCGGCGGTGTTAATCAACGACATCGCGCGGCATTCTCATCCACGCACGGCTCGTGAACGAGGGGGATTACGCGGCGGCGATGGCAGCGTCAGCCGCTGCAGGGTTGCGCGCTCCGCGAACTCGATGGCACTGGTACCGTCCACGCGCGCTCTTACACATCGGCCATGTGACCTTTTGTAAAATGAAACGATTGCGTTGGGTCACGTGACTAAAATCGATCGCTTGCGTTTGGTCACATGACTAAAATCGATTAATCGCGTTCGGTCACGTGACCAAAATTAATAGATCGCATTCGTCACGACCTAATGAAAATTTATCTTGAGGCAAACGACGGTGCCTTTTCAATTTCTTTCAGAATCTACAAGAAGCAAACCAAACTGGTTCCCCACTGGGTTGCGAGGTACCCAGCAGATGGCAGTAAATTAAGTGGGTTTCAACCAAACCAGAATTCTCTGCATCATCAGGTGATCGATGATGCATCGATTTTCCTATTCAAATTGATTATTAATTTTGAACCGTGTATGTGTAATAATGCTTTTAGATTCATGTCCGTCAAAACAACCCCCTACCTCCTCATTGGTGCCGGACGGCAACGCTGTGGTGAGCAGTGCCGTGGGGCGAGGGCCAATTTAAATTGGCCATTCCCCTCATGGCGTTTGTAGCCACCACAGCGGCCAAATGGGGGCTGGTAACCCCTCCACCTTCAAGTAAATTACCACGATACCACGGAATAAAAATCTAATTAAGCTTGTGCTTAATTAGAGGCCTCGGGGGGACAGGTGTCCATGAAGTCTCCTGGCCAAACCCCATTTGGCGGAGCCAGGAGATTGAATCCTTACCCTCGGGGTTCCTCCAGAAACAGCAAAAAACCACTGCGGGTGGCCACGTGGAATGTTCGAACGCTCACTGCGGAGGAGGCTGACACTCCTCTGTCGGGAGTTGGACTGATACCTTCTGGATCTCTGATATTCAGGAGGTCTGGTGGACCGGCTCTGGCTTCTGCCACCATGAGGGCTGGACAGTCCTCTACTCGGGGAAGGAGACTACCAAACAACAGGGAGTGGCTCTTCTTCTGAACAAAAGAATGAAGGGGGCGTGGGAGCGTGGCGGTGAGGTGTGGGAAGCTGTAAGCCCCAGGCTACTTTGGGCTCGCCTTCCCATCAACCAGAGGCGAGGAGTGGTGGAGGAATACAGGCAAAGCTTATGTGTTGGATGCCTTCTATGACCTCCTTTCACATGTGCTAGCTAAAGTGGCCCCTCGGGATAGAGTCATCCTGTTTGGTGACTTTAATTCCCGAGTTGGTCATGATGCTGGCACCTGGTCTGGAGTAATAGGAAGGCATGGGCCAGATCAGCTCAATAACAACGGTAGGAGGCTGCTATAGTTTTGTGCAGCCCATGGGCTTGTAATTACCAACACGCTGTTCTGGCATCGGTGCATCCACACAACATCATGGATGCATGCCAGGTCTAATCAAGAACATCTGCTGGACTACATAGTGACGGAACAGCGGATGCGGGCCTATGTCCTTGACACCACGACCTACCGTGGAGCTGATCTGCCCACTGACCATCGACTTGTCATCTGTAAGATGCACCTGCCATTCTTCCACTCTGGTGGTGGGTGTACACCCAGGACCTCATTCAAACCCATAGTGGCCTGGTCTCGGCTAGCTGATGAAAGTTGCAAGCGAGAATCATCGCTTGCGGCTGGGGTTGGCATCGTCCTCCACTCCTCCTGATGTCGAGGGAAAATGGGTGAGGTTTAGGACTGTGGCTCATGCAGCTGTAATGGCTGCATTGGGTACACGGTCCAAATCTCCCCAGAGACCCTGGCTGACAAAGGAGGTGTTCAGGCTGACTGAGAAAAAGCCACATGGCCCACTCATCGTCCACAGCATCCCACGTCAGAGAATGAGGAGGCTTACCGCAGCCTTCGCTTGGAGGTTCGGAGAGCCGTGAGGCGCTGCAAGGATGGGTGGTGGTCGCGGGATGCCGAGGAGATAGAATCTGCCTCAGTGGCCCACGATCACAAATCGCTCTTTAATTCCATAAAAAGTAACTTGCAGTGCCACACCTATTACCATCATTCGGGGAAAGAAAGGTGATCTAATCTCTGACCGCCAGGTACTGGTTTGCAGATTTGCTGAGGATTTCTGTGAGATCCTGGGGGAGGGGAAATCCCTCAGCCTGGAAAACATCATCGGGCAAAGTGGGGATGACCCTGCTGAGGCTGTGGTGCCTCAAATATTGGAGGAAGAAGTCACCCCCTGTGAGTGGCTGGCTGAGGTGCCATCTGTTGAGGAAATACTGAAGGCGATCCAGAGTCTGAGACCAGGAAAGGCACCTGGCAGAGATGATCTCCCAAGCGAAATGCTGAGGGTGGGTGGCATTTGTGCACAGACTGGCCTACATGACATCATAACAACAGTCTGGACGGGTTCTGCAGGATTGGAAAGATGCCCTGGTGGTCCCCCTCTTTAAGAAGGGGGACCGCACAGACTGTAACAACTACAGGGGCATCTCACTCCTCAGTGTGCCGGGAAAGGTCCTGGCAAGGATTATTCAACATCGCCTTGCCAGGCACGCTGAGGAGAGGCTTACGGAGCCCCAATGTGGTTGTAGGAAAGGGCGATCCTGCACAGATGCCATATTTTCTGTCCGTCTGCTCCAGCAGAGGTGTAGGAAATTCCAACAAGACCTGCATCTCTGCTTTATTGACCTGGTCAAGGCCTATGATACCATCAGTAGGCCTGGGCTCTGGGTTATTCTTCGTGCTTTCGGAGCCCCGGACCCTCTGCTCACGATCAGTCAGGACCACCATGATGGTGAGCGGACCAGGGTAAAACTACGTGGCCGGGAGTCGGAGCCATTTCCTGTTCACCTTGGGATGCGACAGGGATGTCCTCTGGCTCCCACATTATTTAACATCTATTTTGACCACGTAGTTCGTGAAGCCTTCAATAGCTGTACCGGGGGAATCTCCATATGGTACAGATGCAATGGGAGGCTGATCGATGCCCGGGTGAGGTCAAGGGATGGCTCTCTATTGGTCAACCATATTATGTATGCCGATGATCTGGTAATCGCTGCTCACTCAGAGGAGGCGTTGGAGGCACTACTGATGAACCTGGAGCGTGCCACTAAGAGGTGGAGCCTTACCATCAGCCCCACCAAAACTAAGCACTTGCCAGGGTATTTTGTACCATTGGACACTCCACCCCCACGACTCCCAATCAGTGATGGGGCAGTTGTGGAGAGAGTGGAGAGTTTCCCATACCTGGACAGTGTGCTCATGACCGTATTTTTTTCATCGGTTGCGTAACGCTGTATGGAAGCTACCTGGTCTGTCGTTCCACACAAAGCATCAAGTCTTCTTGGCCACAGTCATGCCATCCCTTCTCTACGCTTGCTAAACGTGGACCCCCCATAATGGAGCATCTTTGCCGGTTAGAAACATTTAGGCTGGCCTGCCTACGATCCATCCTGGGTTTAACCAGAATGGATTATGTGAGGAGCTCATAAATCCTCTAAAGATTTGGACCAAGTCCCATCGGTGAGCTCCTCCGGCAGGCAAGGCTGCATTGGCTGGGTCATCTAGTCCCCATGCACAGTCACCGCATGCCTAAACAGCTTTTGTTCGGCCGAATAGAGGGGGCTAAACGGGCGCGCTCCATCTCCCCTCGGCGGACCGCCCTTTTGGATGAGTTCCGTCCCCTGGGCCGCCAGCCACGCTGTCATTAATCTTGGACCATGGGACACCATCGTCGTCGCGTTCTCGGTGACACGTGAATCGTTCCACGCCTAACCACTACAGCGGCATCAGCGTCATCGGCGTTACAATCTGGCAACAATACAGGTGTTCAGAATCAGACTGGAGGAGGAATTCGATGAACGCATTAAGCTATTTTTCACGGATGTCCAGCGGTAAGAAGTTCCAACACCAAATCGACACCCATTACAAGGCATCAAGTCTGCATTAAATATGATCCTTGTACTGTTAGTTAAATTTTAATGTGGAATTGTATGGAGGTGCTGTGTGTTGTTGTCTTGGTGTAGTCTGTTTTTGTTGCTGTTTTGTTGCCTTTCCCAAGCTCGGGAACTGATGTACTTAAGCAATTTGAACCTCTATACTTTTTTTAAGGGGCGCAACGGTGGTGTGATATTATCCTCCTCATCTGGTGTGCTGGAGGTTGGGGGTTCGATCCCGACCCTGATGCCTGCTGTATATTTGGAGTCTGTGTCTCTCTTCCCGTGGTCGTGTGGATTTTTTTCTCCGAGTCCTCCGGTTTTTCCCACCATATTTAGAATCAACGTGTGTTTAGATATTGTTTTTTATTATTTGGCTGCTTTAAATTTCGTTGAGCTTTCATTTGTGGCCAGGTCGGTTCTGAAAAAGAAGCTAATCGCTCAGTGGGGCCTTACCTGATAAAATCAAAAGTTACAAATGTTTGAGTGACCTGCTTGGCTTTTCTCTACTTAGCACTCCTATTGTGTTGCTTGTATCGTTTGTTGTTGTAACTCGCTGAACCCCGTACCCCTGCTGGACATCAGTGAAAAAGAGCTTCGTAGCTCCAGGATCAATAAAGATTCAGAATGGGATTCTGATTAACCACGCATACTTGAAGTGAATCATGAAAACAAACGATGATTTGATAATGTACGCATTGTCCTTAAAAACTGATTGGCCTACACCAGAGACAGCCGTTTTGATGAATTTATTAAAGCATATGTGTTTGCACGTTTTACCACAAGTATGCGTGGTTAATGCAGACTTGATGCCTTGTAATAAATGTCTATTTGGTATTTTAGCATCTTAACACCTCCCATATTGTTTCCAAACAGGGGTAAAGCCTTTTTTTCTTTTTAGCATCTTAATACCGACAAAAGGGTCCCGTAGATAGCATCACAATCATCGTCACAATCATCGTTATCAGCATCGTCATTGTCACGGTCCAATCGCGAAGTTCGGCAGAATCTTCCGCACCTCACACCGCGACGCACTCAGCTCCGGGAAGATCTCCGGCAATCTGGCGACTCGGCACAGTGAGCGATACGGTGGGAGTTAATTTCATGCCAGCTCGGTGCCACCGCGCCCCCGATGACTGTACAGATTTCCCTCGCTCTATGCGGGTTTGGTTTGAGCGATTCCACGTACCTAATGCGTATGCGGCTAACCTATTTCTGCCCAAAATTTGCTCTATGATGCAGTGTGAATAATTCACTCTACATGCGGCTATGCGGTCGAACGTGGGACAACATTGTGTGTGTACCGTGTGTGTACCGTCTGTACTGTGTGTAATGTGTGTGTACTGTGTGTGGGCATCTGTGAAATACTGGACATCTGTGAAAAAAAGCTTTATAGCTCATCGCATTCCTCCAGTATAAATAACTATTCAGATTCTGTGTACTGTGTGTGTGCCGTGTGCACTAGTCAGCAGGCAGCCGTCTCCTCGTGCGGTTTCACTTTGCGTGGCCTTTTTTTGGAAAGCATCTACTAGTACTACCGCTGCTACCGCATAGAGCGAGGGGAACCTGTACATCCACAGCTGCGCAGTCGTCGCAGAGTCACGTCACCATCCACGTAGAGGATTCACTCCCACGGTGATTTGATTCACTATCGCGATCCAGGGCTGCAACGCAATTCAAACAACAAATTGGATTGTTCGGTTTCACATTGTGGCGAGCGTAGCAGCCCCTAATGGCTGCAGGGGTCTAATTAAGCGAGTCCATCATGCGTGCAACGCGCGCGAGCCGAATGGATTCGCACGCACGTGCGGACGATTGATTATTATTTGGCCGTGAGCTCCAGATCCGATGCCAACTGAGGAATCGCTCACACCTCTACGCTGAAGGAACGAGAAACATCGTTCTATCTCAATCTCCCCCCCCACCCCCCACCTAACCAATGATGACAAAACGCCACGATGGCTTGTTTTAGCGCCAGCGGAGGCGTTGTGTAGCCGCTCGTTCCCCGGGGGGCGGCCGTGTGACGAGCGTTGCGTTGAGAGTGGTTGGGCTACTATAACTTTCCATGCGATGGTAAAGCAAATTCATTAAGCTATTAATTGTGGCCAAGTCGCTTATGAAAAAGAGCTACATAGCTCAGTGGGCTTTACCTGGTTTAAAAAAAAATACAAATATCCATTGTTTCTGCTCCTTCTTTTCCTCTCGAGCTTTTCCCCACACACGACTTTGCTGGCATCTACAGCTCAATGTGGGCTCCGCTCCGACGCCTGAAGGATGCCCGCAAGCAGTGTGTGGCGGCGCAAGCTCGAGAAGCCTCGGGAGCCACGCTCGACACCACGGCGCCCCCACCGCCCCCCCCAGCAATACCTTCTACGTTACATCGTGACTGTCCGGCCGCTTCCGTCAAGATGCCTTTGAATTATTTATTTTAGCGAACACCGTCGGAAGCGAGCCTGCAGAAACTCACGTCAACGATGAGGAAGTCGAGCCAGCACCAGGCATTGGTGAAGTACTTTTGGAAGCCGTACGCCACCCACTTGAGCAGCATCTCCACCACGAAGATGTACGAGAAGACCTTGTCCGCGTACTCCAGCACCGTCTGGATCGTCTTCCTTCGCTCGATGTATATGTCCTCAAAGGCCTGTGCACAGGCCGTGGGCAGGGTCGGCGGAGACGGACGAGACGTGTAAGCACGTATGTATGTTGAACTTCTTTCGCACCATACCTAGCCAACCGTGCTATCCGGAGGTGCGGGGAAGGACAGCAAATTAAACACAAAAGGCAGTTTTAAAGAAATTAGTTTTCAATCTAGATGATGATTTAAAAGTGCGTAGCTCCAGTGGCTTCCTAATTTTAGACGGAGACGCGTTAACACCACGAGGATGAGGAGTACTGTGCCAGTCTAGCAGGTGGCGCAGAGCGGCAGTGCAGTCGTACCGCCCGCAACCTCGCAGCAACGAGAAGCACCTGGGTTCGATACCCGACTCGGGTGCCCATGTTCTCCCCTGTTCTGCAGTGAGAGTGAGTGAGTGGAGTTTGTATGATCTCTCCTGTTTTGCAGTGAGAGTGAGTGAGTGGAGTTTGTAGGATCTCCTCCTGTTCTGCAGTGAGAGTGAGTGAGTGGAGTTTGTATGATCTCCCCCTGTTCTGCACATTGTGAGTGAGTGGAGTTTGTTTGATCTCCCCTCTGTTCTGCAGTGAGAGTAAGTGAGTGGAGTTTGTATGATCTCCCCTGTTCTGCAGTGAGAGTGAGTGAGTGGAGTTAGTATGATCTCCCCCTGTTCTGCAGTGAGAGTGAGTGGAGTTTGTATGATCTCCCCCTGTTCCACAGTGAGAGTGAGTGAGTGGAGTTTGTATGATCTCTCCTGTTCTGCAGTGAGAGTGAGTGGAGTTTGTATGATATCCCCTGTTCTGCAGTGAGAGTGAGTGAGTGGAGTTTGTATGATCTCCCCCTGTTCTGCACATTGTGAGTGAGTGGAGTTTGTAGGATCTCCCCCTGTTCTGCAGTGAGAGTGAGTGAGTGGAGTTTGTATGATCTCTCCTGTTTTGCAGTGAGAGTGAGTGAGTGAAGTTTGTATGATCTCCCCCTGTTCTGCGGTGAGAGTGAGTGAGTGGAGTTTGTATGATCTCCCCCTGTTCTGCACAGAGTGAGTAAAGTTTGTATGATCTCCCCCTGTTCTGCAGTGAGAGTGAGTGAGTGGAGTTTGTAAGATCTCCCCCTGTTCTGCAGTGAGAGTTAGTGAGTGGAGTTTGTATGATCTCTCCTGTTCTGCTGTGAGAGTGAGTGGAGTTTGTATGATCTCCCCCTGTTCCACAGTGAGAGTGAGTGAGTGGAGTTTGTATGATCTCTCCTGTTCTGCAGTGAGAGTGAGTGGAGTTTGTATGATATCCCCTGTTCTGCAGTGAGAGTGAGTGAGTGGAGTTTGTATGATCTCCCCCTGTTCTGCACATTGTGAGTGAGTGGAGTTTGTAGGATCTCCCCCTGTTCTGCAGTGAGAGTGAGTGAGTGGAGTTTGTATGATCTCTCCTGTTTTGCAGTGAGAGTGAGTGAGTGAAGTTTGTATGATCTCCCCCTGTTCTGCGGTGAGAGTGAGTGAGTGGAGTTTGTATGATCTCCCCCTGTTCTGCACAGAGTGAGTAAAGTTTGTATGATCTCCCCCTGTTCTGCAGTGAGAGTGAGTGAGTGGAGTTTGTAAGATCTCCCCCTGTTCTGCAGTGAGAGTGAGTGAGTGGAGTTTGTATGATCTCTCCTGTTCTGCTGTGAGAGTGAGTGGAGTTTGTATGATCTCCCCCTGTTCCACAGTGAGAGTGAGTGAGTGGAGTTTGTATGATCTCTCCTGTTCTGCAGTGAGAGTGAGTGGAGTTTGTATGATATCCCCTGTTCTGCAGTGAGAGTGAGTGAGTGGAGTTTGTATGATCTCCCCCTGTTCTGCACATTGTGAGTGAGTGGAGTTTGTAGGACCTCCCCCTGTTCTGCAGTGAGAGTGAGTGAGTGGAGTTTGTATGATCTCTCCTGTTTTGCAGTGAGAGTGAGTGAGTGGAGTTTGTATGATCTCCCCCTGTTCTACACAGAGTGAGTGAGTGGAGTTTGTATGATCTCCCCCTGTTCTGCAGTACAAGTGAGTGAGTGGAGTTTGTATGATCTCCCCCTGTTCTGCACAGAGTGAGTAAAGTTTGTATGATCTCCCCCTGTTCTGCGGTGAGGGTGAGTGAGTGGAGTTTGTATGATCTCCCCCTGTTCTGCACAGAGTGAGTAAAGTTTGTATAATCTCCCCCTGTTCTGCAGTGAGATTGAGTGAGTGGAGTTTGTAAGATCTCCCCCTGTTCTGCAGTGCGAGTGAGTGAGTGGAGTTTGTATGATCTCCCCCTGTTCTGCAGTGAGAGTGAGTGAGTGGAGTTTGTAAGATCTCCCCCTGTTCTGCAGTGAGAGTGAGTGAGTGGAGTTTGTAAGATCTCCCCCTGTTCTGCAGTGAGAGTGAGTGAGTGGAGTTTGTATGATCTCCCCCTGTTCTGCAGTGAGAGTGAGTGAGTGGAGTTTGTATGATCTCCCCGTTCTGCACAGAGTGAGTAGAGTTTGTATGATCTCCCCCTGTTCTGCAGTGAGAGTGAGTGAGTGGAGTTTGTAAGATCTCCCCCTGTTCTGCAGTGAGAGTGAGTGAGTGGAGTTTGTAAGATCTCCCCCTGTTCTGCAGTGAGAGTGAGTGAGTGGAGTTTGTATGATCTCCCCCTGTTCTGCAGTGAGAGTGAGTGAGTGGAGTTTGTATGATCTCCCCGTTCTGCACAGAGTGAGTAGAGTTTGTATGATCTCCCCCTGTTCTGCAGTGAGAGTGAGTGAGCGGAGTTTGTATGATCTCCCCCTGTTCTGCAGTGAGAGTGAGTGAGTGGAGTTTGTATGATCTCCCCCTGTTCTGCACAGAGTGAGTAGAGTTTGTATGATCTCCCCCTGTTCTGCAGGGGGTCTTCCTCCTAGTTCTACGGTTTCCTCCCATAGCTAATATATATTTTTAAAAAAACCCACAATATAACCGGTTTTGGGCCAAAAAACATCCTAGTGCTGAACGATCATCTGCAAACTACTGAATTGGGATCGCACACAGGAGTAGCAGCAACAGCAGCAGCTGCATCGCCCCCTGCCTGCCAACCTCTGCGAAAACTTGGCAGGACCCTCCTGAAGGAAGTGTCTTGGGGCTTGGCGAGGCTTTCGTGGGGAAACAGGCGGATTGATTATCATCATAACGATGACAACAACAACAATACAATACGTTAGAACGTACCAGGGCACCACTGCTGAGCAGGATCATGATTATGATAAACGACTCGAACCAGTTGTGCTCCACAATGCGGTAGCAGGTCTTGCGAACGTTCCACCAGGTGCGCCACTTGCCCTCCTCGGTGGACACCTGGCAGCACTTGAAGCGAGCGACGCAGCCTGCGCACGGTACACATTGAGTCGCGGGGAGAGAACCACGGGACACGGAACGCAAACTCAGTGCCCGATTCACAAACACGGAGGAGGAGGAGGAGGCGTCATCATGAACATCACAGCAGCAATTATTCACCACTCCCCCACTCTCGACTGCGCAATCACCTGGCTCATCAACCACCTTGATGTTAAATTACAGCTGCTGTTCAACATTAGCAGCCATACGGAGAAGAGACCCAAATACTCACACAGAGACCCATTGACTCGCAGAGATCTCTATGAAGGAAGCATCATCACAGCAGCGACGATTCACCACTCCGCCACTCCTGACCGCGCATTGATCCAGCTAGTCAACCTCGCCGATGTTAAATTTACATCTGCTGCTTGACACCATCAACAACAACAACAGCGGCCGTACGGAGAAGATTACAACCGGCGGGGCGGCCACCCTACCAACGGGGAGACGTGACGCTCGCCGCACGCCCTCCGACCCTCGTCAGAATGCCCGTTCACCGCTCACCGCGCATCAACTCACCTGGACCCTCATCGCTCTCAAGAGCAACTCTCACCGCCATGGGCCTGCACTCACCGTCAGTGAAGCAGGCGTCGGGCTCCACGATCTCGTCCATCTGCTCGGGCAGCACCTCCACCTCCTCGCCATCCTTCTTGATGTCCACCGTGCTGCCCTCCGACGAGCTCATATCGTTCAGGATCTGCCGGGGTAACGGGGCAGCGAGGCGGGGGGGGTAAGGGGGCAGAAGGGCAGGGGTGCAGGTTTACAGACTAACTCACCTCCTCTACGAAGGCTCGCAGACTAACTCACCACCACCACAAGACTAACAGACTAACTCACCACCACCACAAGACTCACAGACTAACTCACCACCTCCACGAAGGCTCACAGATTAACTCACCACCACCACAAGACTCACAGACTAACTCACCACCACCACAAGACTAACAGACTAACTCACCACCACCACGAAGGCTCGCAGACTAACTCACCACCACCACAAGACTAACAGACTAACTCACCACCACCACGAAGGCTCACAGACTAACTCACCACCACCACGAAGGCTCACAGACTAACTCACCACCACCACAAGACTAACAGACTAACTCACCACCACCACAAGACTAACAGACTAACTCACCACCACCACGAAGGCTCACAGACTAACTCACCACCACCACAAGACTCACAGACTAACTCACCACCACCACAAGACTAACAGACTAACTCACCACCACCACAAGACTCACAGACTAACTCACCACCTCCACGAAGGCTCACAGATTAACTCACCACCACCACAAGACTCACAGACTAACTCACCACCACCACAAGACTAACAGACTAACTCACCACCACCACGAAGGCTCGCAGACTAACTCACCACCACCACAAGACTAACAGACTAACTCACCACCACCACAAGACTAACAGACTAACTCACCACCACCACGAAGGCTCACAGACTAACTCACCACCACCACAAGACTCACAGACTAACTCACCACCACCACAAGACTAACAGACTAACTCACCACCACCACGAAGGCTCGCAGACTAACTCACCACCACCACAAGACTAACAGACTAACTCACCACCACCACGAAGGCTCACAGACTAACTCACCACCACCACAAGACTAACAGACTAACTCACCACCACCACAAGACTCACAGACTAACTCACCACCACCACAAGACTCACAGACTAACTCACCACCACCACAAGATTCACAGACTAACTCACCACCACCACAAGACTAACAGACTAACTCGCCACCTCCTGCAGGACGACACTTCACCGGCGAGTCAAGTCACCTCTTTGCTGCCGTCGAGGTCGGACTCGCTCGTCTGGTCCTCGGTGTCGCGCGTCTCGAAGTCGGACTCGCCCACGGCGATGGGCACCATGCGGGGGTAGAGGCCGGTGGTGTCCACGTGCCCCGCCATTTCCTCGTCGCCACGGCCAATGTCCACCGAGGTGTGGTTCAGGTTGCACTGCTCCTGGGAGACGGAGCGAGGGAGGGAGCGAGGGGAGGAGGGAGGCAGGGGAGGGGAGGGAGTGAGGGGAGAAGGAGAGGGAGCAAGCAGAGGAGAGGAGGAAGGGGAGTGGAGGGACGCGCGCGAAGACAACACCGCACGCACGCACGTCGTCGCGGAGAGACCCGTCGCTTTAAAAAATACGCGCGTATGGGGAACAAGAACCGCGATCCAAACAGCACAAGTGCAGAGGGACATGCTTGGGAAGAATGCAGGGACGATGACGGAGACTAACGGGGACACGGAGACGTGGCCGGTCGGTCAACTCGTTACCGTCATTTAACCCTCGTTTGCGTTAACTACGCATCACAAGCGGCATGCGATCAACACCGTGCTCGTTAAAATAACCGGTGGCTGTGTCCCGGAGTAAAATCCAAAAATAAGGTAGCGGGGTTAGCTGGGTAGTGGGTTGACATGCTCACGGGATAGCGGGTTGACAGGGTAGCAAAGTAATAGGGTGATGGGGCAGCTAGGTGACAGGGTAGCAGGGTGATAGGGTGACGGGATGACAGGGGTAGCGGGGCAACGAGGTAGCAGGGTGATGGGATAGTTGGATGACAGGGTAGTAGGGTGACAGGGTGATGGGGTAACAAGGTAACGGGGTGAGAGGGTAGGGGGGTGACAGGGTGATGGTGTGACAGGGTAGGGGGGGTGACAGGGTAGTGGGGTGACAAGGTGGCGGGGTGACGAGGTGGCGGGGTGCCGAGGTAGCGGGGTGACGAGGCGTCGTCTCCCGACCTTCGTGTCTTCGTCGAGGACCTTGACGTCCTCGTCGTCCATCTTGTTCTTCTTGAAGTGCTTCGCGAAGAAGGCGCGCATGAAGACCTTGAGCCACGCGATGCCGATGTGGATGCGTTGCATGGAGATCTGCAGGTTGTTCATCTCCCCGTCATCGTCTGTCGCCGCCAGGTTGTCCGCGCTGAACGAGCTCAGCAGCAGAGCCAGGAACAGGTTCAGCACCTGGGGTCACGAGGTCAGGGACATGGGATCACGTGGTTAAGGACACAGGGTCATGGGGTGGGAGGCACAGAGTTATAGGGTGGGAGGCACAGGGTCATGGGGTGGGAGGCATGGGGTCATGAGACGAGCTACTTGAAGTCAAGGAGTCACTAGGCCATGAGCAGGGGGGCACGGTGTCTACAGGGTACAGGGCGGGGGAATGTAGAATATGGTGACTTGGGTCTGAAACACAAACGGGTTATGGAATTCTTGCGACACCTCGTTAGTCGTACCTCCAATTAGCATGGTTGGCTATGTAAGGTGTGAAACAAGTTCAACATACATACATACATACCTTCCAACTAAGGCAGAGCCTTCCAACTAAGGCAGAACACGTGTATACATTAGCAGAATCAGAATATGTATATTAATACTGGAGGAATCTGATGAGCTATAAAGCTCTTTTTCACAGATGTCGAGTCGGGGCGGTTCAGAACATTGTAACGACAAACAATACACAAACGCGATAGCGCTGTCCGTCCACCATGGTAGGGGAGGACTCCTATAAATACAATCCAATGTGAAGTTAAAGCCATGATCGTCATGGCCAAGTAAACATGAGCAGAGACAGCAGGACGCGCTGTGGCATGCCTGACAGAGGCCAAACGTAATATGACTGAGCCGAAGCAAACAAAAAGACAGAGCAACAGGAAATGGCCTTGCGAAACTCCTCCATACAACTCAAGCGCCACCGTTCATTTAAACGAGTTACAGGGACTAGGTGAGGGCCAGGGCTAGTACTAGTGACTGGTTTGCTCGTTGGTTAGAGATAGTACTAGTGTCTGGCGAGCTAGTTGGATAGATGGTTAGGGTCATTGCTAGTACTCATGGCTGGTTAGCTAGTTGGTCAGGGCTAGTACTAGTGGCTGGTGAACTCGTTGATTCGGATTAGTACTAGAGGTTAGTTGGTTAGGGCTAAGAGTGAGAGAAAAGGGAGGGGGTGTCTTCGCAGGGGAAGGGAGGACGCACCACGAGGTTGCCGATGACCATGACCATCATGAAGACGATGAGGCACATGGCCTGGCCGGCCACCTGCATGCAGTCCCACATGGTCTCGATCCACTCGCCGCAGAGCACACGGAACACGATGAGGAACGAGTGGAAGAAGTCGTGCATGTGCCAGCGTGGCAGCTCGCAGTTGATCGCGATGCGGCACACGCACTCCTTGTACATCTTGCCGAAGAGCTGCATGCCGACGACAGCGAAGATGAAGACGATGATGGCGAGCACCAGCGTCAGGTTGCCCAGGGCGCCCACCGAGTTACCGATGATCTTGATGAGCATGTTGAGCGTCGGCCACGACTTGGCCAGCTTGAACACCCTCAGCTGCGCGACAGAGGGCGGGGGCCAACTGCGGCGTTAGTGGAGGCCGAAGTTCAACATACATACAAAAAACAAAGATCCCCCATATATCCTTAACAGACTGTTGGGGAAAGTGCTGTAAAGCGAGCCGGCATGGCATACGAGGGAATGGGTGGCCAGCAATACGCCCGGCTCCCCAGTAGCAATGTTTAGACATTGCACCAGGTACACATTTCAGGCTGAGTCAAACTAGGAGAGGCCCAGGACCGGTTCAGAAAATTGTCACTGGTGTTGGTGGCCATGAGCGGGAATCGAACCCGGATAACCAGGTTCGTAGCGCAGCGTGCTAGCCACTATACGACTGCTCCCCATACATACATACAGACGTACAGACCAATACATTTTTCGTTGACGAAATAAAAACAACGGAAAAAAAAACCCGAGGCTGCGCCATCGCGCACCAGTCGGAAGGAGCGAAGCACGGAAAGGCCCTCCACATCCTGCAGGCCCAGCTCCATGAGGCTGAGCGAAACAATAAAGCCATCGAAGATGTTCCAGCCCTCCTGGAAGTAGAAGTAGGGGTCCATGGCGATGAGCTTGAGGAACATCTCGGCCGTAAAGATGCCTGTGAAGACCTGCGGGGGAGACAGACGGGTGGACGCGGAGGGTAACGTCGGCTCGAGACCAACCACCTCTCGACGACGACGCCAGCGACGACAGCGCTCCGGGAGAGTGGGGGTGGCCGCTTGGACATTGGCGTTCATGGTTGGAATCCAGCGGCCCGCCCTGGTTAATATTTTTGGAGTGTATGTCTCTCTCTATCTTCCAGTGGTCATGCGGATTTTTCTCCGGGTCCTCCGGTTTTCTCTCCACATTTAGAATCGACGTGCGTTTAGAGTATTTGGCCACTGTACATTTCTGCACGATAAGCCGCCACTTCGTTGTACTATCACTTGCGATAGCTGGGTCACTTCTGAAAGAAAGCGACATAGCTCAGTGAGCCTTACCCTGGTTAAATAAAAATCATTTTAGTTTATAGTTTTATTTGCCACCCTAGGTGGTACCGATCAACCCCTTATTCGCGATGTTCAGGGACGGTGCGGGCGGGTGGCCGGGCAAGACTGAGGACGGGAGCGGCAGCCAACGGAACGTCCGCCTAGAAGATGGAGCGCGATGAGGTCGGCACGTGCACACGAGCCGGTGCGGGGGACCATCACAGCGGCGCCATGGCAACGGGTGGAGTGGCGGCGCAGCGGTGAGCGGACCGCGGTGATGAATGCACCCAGCTGCCCGAGTTTGATTCCTGGCCACGGCTAACTTGAGTGGCGAGTAACGTCTGTCAACCGGTCCCCATCCCCCCCCCCACCCGACAATTTCAAAGTCCCCGCACTGACCAACGCGGTGAACTACACATGAACTGCGGGGGAACTATGGATCGGACAACCCCCCTATGACCGACAACGGCATTGAGAAGGCCTTCATCCAGCAGTGGATGGACGACAATGACGGCCCTGAGAGGGTGGGGGGGCCTCACCAGATTGCCGACGGTCAAGACGTCCTTGAAGTGCGGCGTCATGGGGTAGTGCTCCAGGGCCATGAAGAGGGTGTTGAGCATGATGCAGATGGTGATGGCGAGGTCTACGAAGGGGTCCATGACGATGATGAGCACGATCCTCTTGATCTTCAGCCACATTGGGCAGCAGTCCCAGATGAGGAAGACGTTGGAGAACTTGTACCAGCACGGGGGGCACTTCTTGCGTGATTCCTCGAGCTCCGCTGAGAAAGAAATGCAAATGGGGCACGGAGAGAGACAGGTTATTTTATTGTCGGTACCGCAGAGAGTGACCGACGCTAACAATGGTCGCCTCTTTAATGCCACGAGCTTAAAGGCAGAGAGTGGGAGTTTGAAGCCAGAAGGTTCCCGCTGACATGGAGCCTATCGTGGAGATGCGGCATACAGGAAGATTGGGGGAAGGAATTGGGCGCTGGGGCTATCAGGAGTTAATCCCTGTCCCACGGGATTTTAGCTGAGTTCACTTGACGCACGTAGTGCGTCCCTCTCCTCTTATCTCCCCCCACCCTATACAATACTGCACACCCCTGCACGTGAGGCAATGAGCCCAATTTTTCCCCCTTCACAGGCGTCATGTCGCGCCCGCATCAGGTCGCTGTTCACGGAGTTTCGGTTTCCCGCAGCCTTCCTCACCACCGTTTCGCGATCAGTATATTGTATACCGGGGCTCGTGTTGATTTGGAATAAAAACATTTAAACAAATCAAAACAATGATCACTTTGAAACCTTTGATCTCTCGGTGATAATGTTTCGTACAATGGCAAGGCCACCATGTGAGCTTTTTTACAGGGAAATGGTCGTTAAAGGAGAGAGTGGCCAGTGGTCCGGAGCACGGTGAGCGGCGCATCTGTCACGGTATGGTGCTCATGGGCCACCCTAAACCGCATCCAACGCACAAACCATGGCTGCAGATGCAGATATCTGATGCACAAATGAAAAGTAAAAAACTCTCCAGTAGAGTACGGCTGTGGTCATCCACAACAGACCGAAATAACAAGATGACGCAATGCCCGATCCACAAATACGAAGGAGACATCACGGCGATACACTCCACTGCTCCTGACGCGGTTGTCCGGCTTGACAACTTGAATGTGAAATTGTAGCTGTTGCTCTGCATCTATATCAGCCACTATACGACAACAAGCACAGCACCCATTTAATTTACACGTCCCAGAAGACTGCGGTACTGCACTTGATAACCACACACTCTTGAAGTGGTTATCGCATAATTCACTCTCACTGGCACACGACAGTGATATATAAATCGCTCAAGTTACGTCACCTCGGGTGGTACCGATGGCACAAGCGAGAAATATCCCTGCCAAGTTACCGCATTAAGGGGCGCGCGATTGATGCTGTTGTTGCAGCTGTGTGATGGTTATCCCAATCGAGTTAAAACAGATAAAATACCCAAAATTACAGCTTGTCCTCAAAAGACCGGGGCGTTATTGAGGGGTGGGGGGCCCCAGGGGGAGGGGCCCCCCACCCCTGAGGGACTAATGAAGGTCGTGTTGAGCCCATTAACAGTGATGGTGGGCTGCGGTGGTGGTAGTGGTGGTGGCAGTGGTGGTTAGTGGCAGTGGTGGTAGTAGCGGTGGTGGCAATGGCGGTGGCGGCGGTAGTAGTGGGGGTGGCGATAGCAGTGGTAATAATGGCGGAGGCGGTGGCAGTGGCGGCAACAGCGGTGGCGGCGCCGGCGGTGGCCCGCGTGCCGGCGCCCCGCACCCTCCATGGTGTTGGTGAGGACGCTGATGGCGCTCGCCGTGCGCTGCCTCATCGGCGGCTCCTCCAGCAGGTCCATAGACGGCAGCCGAGACGCCGAGCGCCGCTTCTTCACCACCTCGCTGTCCGGCGTCGTGGTCTGCGCCACCGCACACAGCCCACGCGGGCGCTCGCGGTCAAAACCAACAACTGCAACAACACCGACGACGGCGACGACGACGGCGGCAGCGGCGGCGGCTACGACCCCAGCGCCGCGCTACATTTCTCACGGCATTCGTTTGCCGTGAGGAAACGCTGGAGAGCAAACTCACAAAGCGGCCCCAGTTTGCTCGTGCCACACCAACGCTTGCTGAAACGTTCACGCACCTCCAGGAGACCGTGGGGCTGATGGGAGGTATAATATAACAACATGAAATTAGGTGAAGGGGCAGATACGGGGGAAGTAAGGGGTATTTTCCGCTTCTAAGATTCGATTGCCTCTGACACAGCAGAGAGTTCAGTGCCTGTGACCCAACCGGTCACCGAATGTACATCTCTTGAATTCCTACCCTCTCCTCTTCATGAGGCTGCTGCTACGTGGAAAATCTTCCTTGGACATAAGCGGTCCGGGTTTTCCCGTCAGCTGCATGGCAGTACATCACATTCACGTGTCGCTCGACCCTCTTTCGGAATCGTGACACATTCCTCCTCCTTGTCCTCCTCCTCGTCTTCCAAGCAAAGTGTTGTCTTGGTTTTCTTGCACCTCACGGGGGGGTGACCACCAACCCTCGGCGCTTGGACAACGGCCCGCCGGCGCAGCGGCAAAAACCCTGCGCCGTATCAAACGCAAGTGGCGTCGTCACGGCAGCACGTCAAGACAAAACGCCCCCCCCCCCCCACCCTCTCGTCGTCACGAGCCGTCCGCGTGCTGCAAGAAAGCAATCACAGCAAACATCGCAGGGTCAACCGGCGGTGGAGGCGGCGGTGGGTGGCTAGAGCCGAACAAGGTTGGCTCTGCCCTCCGCACCCCTTCGAACAGATTCGCCGGCCCGAGCACCAACCGCGAGCGGGAGGAGCCACACGCGGCAAAATGTCTCGGGGCCGGCGAGAGAGAGAGCGAGCGCGCGTTCACCCCCGCTGGCTGCCGCTCCGCCACAGTCGGTGAAGCCGTGCCATATAATTTATTCAGACGATTAACGTCCAGTAACGTACGTACAAACGTACATATACTGAACGTCTTTCGCACTGTATGTAGCGAACTGTGCTAATCAGAGGTGCGGGGGAAGGACAACAAAATAAGCTCACCCGCCAATTATTTGCGTGGAATATATATATACACGTGGCAATAGTTCCTGGGCAAACAAACCTAACAGCAAAAGATTTAGGAAAAATATTTTGCATTTATAGGGAACTTGAAGGCCCCGGCAAACTCAAAGTGATGTTTTCATCACATCTCAAGCCACCGGAAGCTGTCCCTGTGCTTTTTAATACTTCCCGCTCCACCGACGCTGCACATGAAGCACAGGGAACACGTTTTAGTAGGAGCAAAGCGGGCTTCGTTAATACCGCAAACGCGTAAGGTCGCACGGTTGTGTCACGGGTAAAGGCTTTTGTAAAAAAAAAAAATCTCGGCTGAGGTGCACGAGAAAAAATGTCCATTTACGCGACTGAAAGATCACGGAATAATGTTGAGTGGGTTGGGCTGGAAGTGTGAAATTTCCTACAAAAATGTAACAATCGTTTTATACATTTTTTTACTGATACCAAGTGTCAGATTTAAGTCATTTTTATTCGTAGTTGTTTCTCGGATTAGCGTAATCAATCGTAATATTGGGCTGATAAATTTGAATAAATTCAGCTGGAATCGGAATTCTATCCGAGTCCGTCGAAACCAATCAAAAGGCCGGGAAAGCCTGCCCATGACGGTCGGCACATTCGAAAGAAATCGCAGGAAGCAAACCCTATCCAACGCATTTCTACGACCCCCCTGACAACACCGCGGCCTTATGACTTGTGTGACAACGCAGCAAACACAGGGAGTGAGGGAGGGAGGGATGCACGCAGGGAAACAAAGTTTGGGATCTGTGTGGTGGGGGTCATAATGGCCAGGAAGGGCGCAGGAGGACTGGTCCATGCCAAATAAACCGAACATGCTGCTTTGGTTGGAGAACAAAACCATGCTCTTGTCTTGTATTTTATTCCTTTTTTTGGAAGAAATTTGTCAATTTCCAAAAAAGGTGGGGTGGGGGGTTGTTTCTCAAACCTTTAACGTCGGCTTCATCTTTTACAGGAAGATGTGGCCCACCACCAAAATTAGGAGGCCTTGTCTCGTGCGCGTCGCCCAGGCCGGCGGTGTGTGCGTTCCCCCCATGCCCAGCTGTCCGACGCGAGTCTGAAACCCCGTTAATAATGACGATCAACTGACTAACGAGCGCCATTGTCCGCGCTGTACTCGCTGCGTAGTGCTGACGAATGCTACTCGGGGGGGGAGTGGAGGGTAGGGCCGATGTTACGATGTGATTTTACCCAATTAAATTATATGCCGTGGTAATCATTTTTTTAGGATCGTGACACCAGCACACAGTGGCCTATTCCTCTCATCTCACGCTACTCCGCTTTCCCAATCTCCTCTCTCTCCTAACTCTCTTCCCCCCTCGTCTCACTCTACTCCCCTCTCACACTCTCCTACCTCTCTCGTCCCACTCTACTCCCCTCTCACACTCTCCTACCTCTCTCCCCCCTCATCTCACTCTACTCCCCTCTCACACTCTCCTACCTCTCTCCTCTCTCGTCCCACTCTGCTCCCCTCCACGCACGCTCACGAAGCTCCCAGTCGACCTTCGCTCAGTGGGAGGCCGCTCGTTCTATTCTGGTGCCCCCCGTGGTCTGCGACTCCCTGCCACTGTTAAATTTCAGGCTCCCCTCCTCTGCACGTGACTGACCGTCTCACTCTCTCTCTCTTTCTCTCTATAAAACAAATGTGCCCACTGTTGTTGCACAGAATCACGGCGACGTCGTGTCGACGCGGCGATGTGCCCCGACCTTGGAAACGAAGCGTTTTTTTCCCCCTACTCGCGAAAACTTGTCGGACGGCGCTAGGAACCACACACACCGCACCGCCCGCGGCCTCCGCATTGCCACGAGACAAACCCTCCACGGAGGTCCCCCGCCGCTGGCCCGGCCGCATCTTCCTCTAAGAGAGAACTCCGCAGCCCGCGGTGCACATCCCAAACTCTGCTACGTACATAATCCTCCTTGGACGCCTTGTCCACGATCACCTCGGGCAGCAGGTATCCCAACGTCGGTGACCTCCCGTCCGGCTTGCCGCCTCCCTCCATGAGCGACACCACGCCATTGCAGTCGACCGAGCTGTGGTGCTCGATGGCGCGCCCGCCGTTGGTGGCGAGCGGCGCGGCCAGCAGTGCGTTGGGGCGCCCCGCGGCGCTGTGCGCGCTGCTGCGCCGCTCGGCGAGGTGCGGGAAGAAGAGGGAGCCGCGGCGGCTGCCCGCCTGGCTGTGCAGCTCCGACTGCTCGTCATCGGCGAAGTCATTCTCGGAGCCGCGGTCGCGCGCCCGGAAGCGGAAGCTGAAGACGCTGCCGCGGCTGCTGCGCCGGTGCGACGGCGTGAAGGGCGAACCGCGCCCGATGCTCAGCAGCGACTGCGTAAAGCGAAAAAAGCGCACGGGACGGCAATCGGCGCCACTTGACGCCTCGAGCGTTTAAGCCCCCCCCCCACCCCTCCCGTGGTCTTTTGTCAACCGTCGGCCGGCCAGAAGGCGAGGGAAAAAAATCCCTGACCAAAGATGCGTCACGCGATTGAAGAGACGACGACTTATAGCGATAGACGGCGCGCGAGCGCTTAGTATGTCGACAGTGTTATTGCAGGGCAACTGCCTCCAACAGCCCGCTAGCGCGTCCTTCACGAGCCTCCTCCTCCTCCACGGAGGTCGATCTTGACACCGCCAGTAGCGGTCATCGGCAAGTCCATTGCTCACGCAACAACAGCTGCCATTCGTCACTAAGTGGCGGTGACGTCACCATGGCACTTGTGCCAGGCTACGTGCCCACACAAGGATGTATAGCCTTAATAGACTCTCGGAGCATGTGCTGTTAGCGAGCACATGCTCCTAGAGGCCGGCACGACGCACGAGGACGTGGGGTGGTCAGAACCACGCACGGCCGCCTTTGTCTCTCCAGTGGTGATACTTACACACCGTACCAGGTACACATTTGAGGCTGGGTCAACCTTGGAAAGGCCTAGAACCTGTTCAGATAGCCATCACTGGTTTCGGCCATGAATGGGAATCGAACTCGCATCGCCGGTTTCGTAGCGTAGTAAGCTAATCGTTCCCCTTTCCAAAGACAAAGATCCCCGTATAGGCCTAACAGACTGTTGGGGGCAAGTGCTGTTAGCGAGCAGCACCTATGAAAGTGCTCGCTAACAGTGACACACACACACAACACACACAGTGCATGCAAACCATTACACTACCGCTCCCCACGCTGACACACACTACACACACACAACACACATACACTATACACACACACACTACACCCATACTACACCCACACAGACAACACACACAGACAACACACACAGACACACACACTACACACACACAGAGACACACACAGACACACACACACAGACACACAGACAACACACACACACTACACACACAGACAACACACACACTACACACACAGACAACACACACACTACACACACACAGACAACACACACACCACACACTACACACACACACTACACACACACAACATACACTACACACATACACTACACACACACTACACACACAAAGACAACACACACACCACACACACCACACACACAACACACACACAACACACACAACACACACACAGACAACACACACACGCTACACACACACACTACACATACACTACACACACAAAGACAACACACACACCACACACACCACACACACACACACACTACACACACACTACACACACAAAGACAACACACACACCACACACACACACACTACACACACACTACACACACAAAGACAACACACACACCACACACACCACACACACACACTACACACACTACACACACAACACACACACAGACAACACACAGACAACACACACACGCGCGCGCGCGCGCCACCCACCCCGTGTGACGCGGACCCCTTCTTCTTGAACAGGAGGCGGTTCTCGTGCAGCAGGTTCTCCTGGTTGCGCTTGATGCTGTCCTCCGACTCGGACTTGTGCAGCTTCTCCAGGTCGCCCTTCTCGGAGCCGTCGAGGAGGCCGCCCTCCGTCTGCCGCCGCTTGCGTCGCCGGTTGCGCCGCTCCTTGGCGCTCTTGGAGCTGAGCCGAGACATCTCGGAGGAGCTGCGTGACACCGTCCCCTCGCCGGCGATGCATGGCACACTGCCGGCCGCGGCCGCCGCTAGATCATGGGCCTGCGCCGGCGCGAAGACAAAGGTCCCCCGTGTAGCCTTAACAGACCGTCGGGGCAAGTGCTGCTCACGAGCAGCACCTACGAAGGCCAGCAGTGGGGGGTTGGTGGCCGGTACCACCACGCCCGGCCGCCCTTTGTCTCCCGAGTGGCGATGTTTACTGCACGCCGTTCAAGGCACTTATTTAAGTCTGAGTCGACATAGGGGAGACCCGGGACCGGTTTGTGCAATCGTCACAAGTGTTGGTGGCTGTGAGCGGGAATGGAACTCGGATCGCAGCAGCAGCAGCAGCTGCTGATGCACAAACGAGAAATTAAAAACTCTCGAGGCAGCGTGCGGAGACGGTGGTGACCACCCAGAACAGAACCATGGGATGCATAACGCGGACTCAGTGCCCCATCATCATCATCACAGCAGCGATGATTCACCACTCCGCTATTCTTGACTTGTGCAATCACCTGGTTCATCAACCACCTCGATGTTAAATTACAGCTGTTCCTCGACAACATAAACAGAACCGGTTATATGGGGGGAGAGGAAGAAAAATAGGAGGAAGAAGCAGCAGCAGCAGAGGAATAAGCAGAGGAAGAAGCGAGTATGTATGACTGGTCATCGCAATCCTGACCGGGCCGTTTAACTTCCCCGTTGCACAACCGCTGGCTCGGCGGTGGACAAAGCGGCGGTGTGCACCCCCCCTCCCCCCATCACCTGCTGCTGCTGCTCCTCCTGCTGCCGGTGTAGGTTCTCGAGCATCTGCTGGAAATCGCGCTCCTTCTGCTCGGCCTCCTCCAGCGTCGCCTGGTTCTGCTCCTCGTAGGCCATGGCGACGACGGCGAGGATGAGGTTGACGAGGTAGAACGAGCCCAGGAAGATCACGAGCACGAAGAAGATCATGTAGGTCTTGCCTGCGGCGCGCAGCGTCTACCACATGGCCAGGGGAGACACCGCTCGCATTGGTCGGCGAGCGGTTGTAATCGTAACCATAGCCACGTCCTTTCTCGCAATCTATGGGCTGTGTTAGTCTCTGGGCAATGTTAGTCTATGGGCTGTGTTAGTCTATGGGCTGTGTTAGTCTATGGGAAATGTTAGTCAATGGGCAATTTTAGTTTAAACGATAACAACTAGCGCCTCCGGTAAAAATGCTCGCACGCCATGTGGCGATTATGTCACGTTCAACGGTATCGATCGGGTGGCGGAGGGCCCCACGACACAAATCTAGCCGGATCATTGGGTACGGCAGCGGCCTAACCCCGAGAATCGCCTCTGAAGTTTGCCTTTAGCGATTGACATTCATTTATTTGAGCTGAACATCGACCGCATTGTGCCGCCCCCACTCCCTAGATGTTGTATGCGCTGCGCCGTAGCTCACCAGCTGGTAGAGGTTCTCCCAGAAGTCCTGCGTCATGAGGCGGAAGAGAGACAGAAAGGCCCAGCTGAAGGTGTCGAAGCTCGTGTAGCCGTAGTTGGGGTTCCTCCCAGCCTTCATGCACGTGAAGGTTTCCGGGCACGTCCTGTGCACACCGCACGCCGCCACCATCACTGCCACTGACGTCTCCGCAGGCCGGCGCCCCCAGCGCCCCGTTAGTCAACCGGTGCGACTTTTCCCTCTCCAGCCCCACGGCTCTGAACGGACGTTTTGAATATCGGTGGCTTGTTTGGTTTGGAGGGCATCTATTTATCTTTATATAGATTTCTACGGCGCCGTATGCTGAGGTGCTTTACAACAACCATAACATTGTATGCGAGATGACAGTGGTTGAGATAAAGAGTAAGGTTGTTATTAAGAGTGTTGGTGTAGCTGTGGTGACAGTAAGGAGGATAAGTGGGACTAGTTAAGAAGAGGTAGGGGTAGTGATAGGGGTAGTGATAGGGGTAGTGATAGGGGTAGTGATAGAGGTAGTGATATGGGTAGTGATAGGGGTATAAATAGTGGTAGGGGTAGTGATAGGGGTAGTGATAGAGGTAGTGATATGGGTAGTGATAGGGGTATAAATAGTGGTAGGGGCCAGTGATAGGGGTAGTGATAGGGGTAGTGGTATAAATAGTGATAGGGGAAGTGATAGGGGTAGTGGTATAAATAGGGGTAGGGGTAGTGATAGGGGTAGTGGTATAAATAGTGATAGGGTAGTGATAGGGGTAGTGATAGGGGTAGTGATAGGGGTAGTGATATGGGTAATGATAGGGGTATAAATAGTGGTAGGGGCCAGTGATAGGGGTAGTGATAGAGGTAGTGGTATAAATAGTGATAGGGTAGTGATAGGGGTAGTGGTATAAATAGGGGTAGGGGTAGTGATAGGGGTAGTGGTATAAATAGTGATAGGGTAGTGATAGGGGTAGTGATAGGGGTAGTGATAGGGGTAGTGATAGGGGTAGTGATAGTGATAGGGGTAGTGATAGTGATAGGGGTAGTGATAGGGGTAGTGATAGGGGTAGTGATAGGGGTAGTGATAGGGGTAGTGATAGTGGTAGTGATAGGGGTAGTGATAGTGATAGGGGTAGTGATAGGGGTAGTGATAGGGGTAGTGATAGGGGTAGTGATAGTGATAGGGGTAGTGATAGTGGTAGTGATAGGGGTAGTGATAGTGATAGGGGTAGTGATAGGGGTAGTGATAGGGGTAGTGATAGTGATAGGGGTAGTGATAGTGATAGGGGTAGTGATAGGGGTAGTGATAGTGATAGGGGTAGTGATAGGGGTAGTGATAAGGGTAGTGATAGGGGTAGTGATAGGGGTAGTGATAGTGGTAGTGATAGGGGTAGTGATAGTGATAGGGGTAGTGGTAGGGGTAGTGATAGGCCCTCGAGCGTCTGTGTTTCCTCCTCCTGGCACCTCCGAGTTGTCCCCTCTCCGTCTCTCTTCGTGGACTCGCAACGCGTCACAAGTCCACGTTGATACCTCGACCCCGGAGAAACCCCCCGTGCCTTCAGCTAACACCGCCACCGCGGTGCCCTTATTTGAGCCCGCTCCCCCGAACCCGCCACCTTCGCCCCCCCCTGCCCCCAAACACCAATAAACCATCGAATCGCGATGATGGCTGGCCACGGGGACGAGGATGTGCGGTTCGTGGTGAGAGCTTTTTGGCGAAGGGGGCACGGTGGCATCGTACCCCGCGTCGCTGCCGTTGCCGCACAGCAGGGCGTCGAGCGCTCCCTCCACGAAGTACTGGTTCACTGTGGAAAGCGAACGACAAACAGTGTCAGGCGTGGCGAGGTGGCGGCGGCCACGAAAACAAAACCGCCGTTGATCCCGGTGACGCCCCTCGTCAGATCCACAGCTGGATGAAGATATTTCTGTACTACAACTACCCATCTCCCCACGACCTCTCCCCCTGCCACCCTCTCCTCCTCCCACAACCCCTCCCACACCCCACCCTCTTCTCCCCCCACCACCCCACCAGGTTTTATCCTAAACTCTGCGTCATCACGAGATGGAGGATCCATTCAGATCTCGCGCAGAGCAGCACGACGCAGTGTTAGAGAACGGCCTACGGAACCGGATATCACAGAGCTACCGTTGAGATCCCTTCTTTAAGTGAGGGTAGCACTGTCCCACTCGCTCTGCATATGAGACGGGGGGTAGAGGCTCATCGCATGACAGTCAAACCGATATTTTAATTCTCAGATCTGGAATTTTGAGAAATTAAGCACAGAACCAAATTTCACATTATAAGGTCGCACTCATTACACACAATCCTCATAGCAGCAGCTTTTGGCTAACCATCGAACAAAGAAAGTCACCGCATCGCACACTTTCGGACGCGCTTCTGCGGCCGTGTGGAACGCTCTTCCTTCTGATATTAGGAAGCCACTGGAGCAATGCACATCTAGAGTGAAAACTCATTTCTTTAGAAATGCTTTTTGGGTTAAGTTTGTTGTCCTTCCCTCACACCTCCGATTAGCACGGTTGGTTACATACTGTGCAAAAGAAGTTTAACATATGTACATACAATATGTTCAGGATTTGTTGTTTTCTTTGGCCAGGTAACCGGGCTGAGACCATCAATTTGCCACAATCGAGAGCCCAGTGGCGCATGCCAGCACTGTGGAGGCAGCAGTGAGGGTTGGTGGATCACCGCACAACCATTGTGAAACTCCCTTCTCGTGCGCATCGAGGAGGAGGTGCTGTACCTCTGGCACACCAGTAGGAGGTGGTACAGCAAAGTGGACTAATCACCATCTGTCTCCATCTGTACAGGGATCGAGTATTGCCCCCTCGAGCAAGGTGTGGGTTTTATAAAAACCCTAAAGAAGAGCCATATAACTCAGTGTGGCTCTCCTGGACAGATAGATAAATCAGAAAATTATAAATAAATATTAGAATTATAATAATAACCTCTATTTTATAAAGCACCTTGCATATAGAGCAGTGTTCTTCGTTACAAGGCCCCACGGGCCACTGGTGACCTCTGGTGGCCTTTAGTGCGGCCCCTGACGTGTGGCCCCACGATAACACACGAGTGAAAACACCCCCCCCCCCCCCCCATCATCATTGTGCTGCTGTCAAACCCCCAATGGTTTAAAATGTGTGGCCATCCCCCATACTGATGATCTCTTATTGGCAAAAGTGCCCCCCCCTCTGAAAATTAGTGAAGAAGGCCTGTCTATAGTCAGTGGCAGCCCCCCATAGCCGGAAGAGGCGGCACACGTCCTCACTGTCATTGCTGATGTACTCGTCGAAGTTCGACCACACGGAGAAGTTCTCGGCGTTGATGGAGCCGTTGCCAGACTCTGTCCCGTTGATGACGATGCCATAGGGCACCGGCCAGCGGATACACTTGTGCCGCAGGTTCCCCATGAAGAGCTGCAGGCCGATGAGGGCGAACACGCTCAGGCAGAAGACGGTGAGGATCATTACGTCCGACAGCTTCTTCACCGACTGGATCAGCGCCCCCACGATGGTCTTGAGGCCTACGAGGGGAGGGGGGGGTGGGGAGTTGTGGTTTCATCGTTTGTGCGGATGAGATTTAGGGTGGATCATGAACTTCATGGAAGATCAAACCCGGGGATCTTATGCGTTGGGTCTTTCACAAGGTGGTGTTTACGAGTTCTTTTAAACTCCATTCAGTTCTCCAAGCTTCATCAATGACACTGCAAAGGAATGCACAGTGTGTCATTTTTCAATTGGGATTATACACACACACATCAGCCATCATATGCCTCCCCTACTGACAGAGTAATGCCCCAGGTCACTCTTGCAGATGAGACTCTATCCTGGTCTTGTGTACTCACCTAGCTAAACAACATAAAACTTGGATGCTTGAATCGTTATTCTCATCTTACCTGGGATGACGGAGATGGTCTTCAGCGCTCTCAGCACCCGGAATGTCCTGAGTGCAGATACGTTCCCCAGATCCACAAACTCCGTGACGTACCTGCACGGTCGCACGCAAACGTACAAACGATCGGTCCGTGCCCGAGAACGTATTTCAATCGCTTGTGACTACTTTGCCCACACCTGAGCGAGTAGTTGTGAGGCGAGGGGGTAGCATCTCGGCATGACTAGCGTCTGGCCCCGCCGCCCCCTTTACATGTTAGCTCCACCGACCACTCACCCCCGCCCACATCAGGTTTGTAACGACCAATCATTGTTATAGGCAATCAAATGGAGAATTGAAGACACAAGCCACAGCACGACTGTGGCCATGCAACCCAAACTATGGTCAACAAAGTAAACCACTGTAGTCTGTGCTCCTTTAACGGAGTAAAAGCAAAACTACATGAACAAACTCTCCTGAAGCCTCTCGTCGTGGCCAGCACACCTCGACACTGGCATCTAGCTCCTGAATGCATTGCTAACATCATCATGTGCATGAACAGAATAATACAGTTGAACAAATGTCAATTTAACACGTAGAATTTCGTGACCAATATCGTTCATAACAACATTTTTTTGGGTTAGATAGTGTGAATGTAAATGTTTTGTCAACCCACCTCCACTCGACACTGCCAATTGATCGTGAGATTACTAATTAGGAGTATAGGTTACTAACATTTTTTTATCCTGAATAAATGTGTCACGTGATGGAAGTACAGTATTCTCTCGTTATTCACGAACTTGCAATGCGCGAATCACACCTGGAACTCTACACGTCTACATCGAAAGAGAGAAAGAAAGTGATGAGATAAAGTGATGAGAAATAAAGCGATGAGAGATTAAATGATAAGCGATAAAGTGATGTATTATGATCATTTCCACGTATTTAATAGATTCTTTACATATTCATTAAAGGCAATTCATAAAAAAATAAATGTTTTCATCGGCCAATATCATCATCCGCGAAATTTCCTATTAACGAGCATCTCCGGAACATTATTCCTCGCGAACAATGAGGGAGCTCCGTGCGCAGTCACAAATTGCCAAAGCGGATCGACGTTCCGGAGAGGATCGATACTACGGATCGGTATCCGAGCCACTGCTCAAGAGCCACCGCTCGTGCAGCCAGTTCGCAGGGACGGCCCCCGTACGAGCGATGCTGCGCGGTCACACGCTGGCCCGGGCGTGGCAAACGCCGACGGCGTAGGCGTGGGCCCGGCTATGTACAAACCGCCCGCGCGGCCGGAGGACTCACGCCATGGAGATGACCATGAAGTCAAGCCAGTTCCAGGGGTCGCGCAGGAACGTGAACCCATCGATTGCGAATCCTCGCGCGAAGATCTTGACCATCGACTCGAAGGTGTAGATCCCCGTAAACGTGTACCTGTGAAGAAACCAGCGGCAGCGGCGCTCACATTCTCGCGCTGGCGGCGAGTGCAGTGCCGGGTGCGCTGAGCGGCGGTGTCATGAGCGGCGGTGTGGTACGTACTCCACCTGCTTGGACCAGGCCGGCGGATCGCTCATCGTCATAAACACGCAGTTCGTCAGGATGGTGCACATGATGATCATGCTGAACAAGGTGCAATGACCGCCATTAAGGACCACCAAACACCAGTCCTGGTGCAAACACACGGCGCCGATCGCGGCTGAACCCGCCGGTTGTTCATTACAGACGTGAGTTGGCAGCCAAAGAGTCAACGTGCGGAGGAAGTGAGGCTAATCTAGTGACCCACACACTCACACACCTACACATCAACTCGACAAACTCTGACCTTTCCACCCGCACATGGATGGCGATGGTGCAAGTCCGTTCTGTGGGCTTGTCAAACCATCATCGACTCGTATAATAAATTAGCCACATTTTTTGTTTATAAAACTATCTGGATAATGATCTTCAATAATGTGTACTGCTCCCCCATTAACAACACTTACGGATGCCTGCTCACCAACCCACTCGCTCGCTCGCCCACTCACTCCGCTTTCCCACCTGCTTGCCCGGCCACTCACTCCGCTCGCGCCCATCCGCTGGCTCACAAAGGATATGAGTGGATTAGGATCTTGATGGCAATCCTCCGCAAGATGCTGAAGGGGCTGAGCATGTAGAGCGCAGGCGTGGCGCTAAACCGGAAAATCGCCTTCCCGGAGTTGAGCACGATGAACGTCTGCACGGGGAGAGAAGGCGGGTGGGAGGGACAGGGTGAGAGCAGGGAGAGAGCCGAGGTGGGGGGGGGGGGGGGTGGAATTCCTGCGAGCTAAAGGGGCAGCAGCATTGTTAAGCAAAGCGTCGTTCCCCTGCATCCCCGACGCGAGACGACCGTTCCGCCACGCGCGCGATGCCGCTCGTGATCGTCGTCGAGTCTAGCGGAGGGAAATATATGCTCGCTTCTAATCCGCGGTGAGAAATAAATAAAATATCAACCCCCCAACAGCCCCGCCCCTACCCCCCTCCCCCTCACTCCCGACCGCCGCCACCTCCAGAATTGGTTCGCAGTTAGCGTCGCGAAATTATCGGCTCGGCGGCAGCAGCAGCAGCAACAGACGGCAACACCGCGGCGGAGCATTCGCCCCTTTCTCAGCGGCAGAGCCGCTACGGGGGCGGAGGAGTCGCTGCTACCACCGTCGCCGCGTGAATGGGGTGCAAGTGGGAAGTGTGAACGGGGAGCGCACGGGAAGCCAGCTAACCAGCTAGCCAGACATCTAGTTAACTAGTCAAACAGCCAGCTAAACCAATGAACCAGCCAGCCAGCCAGTCTGCTAACCGGTCAGCCATTCGGCTAACCAGTCAGCCAGCCTGCTAACCATTCAGCTATCCAGCCAACCAACTAACCAGCCAGCCATCCAGCCAGACATAGGCCCCATGGCAACAGCAGCAGCAGCTGGTAGAGCCAAACCTGACGACTGTCCCTATGAGCGGACCGGGCTCACCTTCCTGTTCAGGTAGAATGGATCCAGGTCCTCCAGGGGCGTGGCGATTAATTTGGAGGGGACGTCGCCGTAGATGAGCGGCAAGGACTTGCCCACCTCCAGATCACTATTGGGCTTGGGCCCATCATCGTCACGACGCGTGTCCTCCTGCGGGTAGAGGTGGTGGTGTGTTAGACGGGAGGTGGTATGTATATACCGTACATAGCCAACCGTGCTAATCGAAGGTGTGGGGGAAGGTGGTGGTTATGGTGCGTTGGAGGGAAGGTCGTGGTGTATTAGAGGGAAGGTGGTGGTAGTGATGGTGTGTTAGAGGGAGGCTGGTTGTGGTGATGGTGTTAGAGGAAAGGTAGTAGTGGTGGTGTATTCGAGGGAAGGTCGTGGTGGTGATGGTGCGTTAGAGGGAAAGTCGTGGTGGTTATGTGTTAGAGGGAAGGTCGTAGTGGTAGTGTGGGAGAGGGAACGCGGTTGTGATAGTGGTGCGTTAAAGGGAAGGTGGTGGTGATGGTGTGTTAGACGTGAGGTGGTGGTGATGGTGTGTTTCAGGGAAGGTGGTGGTGATGGTGTGTTAGACACGAGGTGGTTGGTGATGGTGTGTTTCAGGGAAGGTGGTGGTGGTGGTGGTGATGGTGTGTTAGACACGAGATGGTGGTGATGGTGTGTTAGAGGGAAGGTGGTACTGGTGATGTGTTAGAGGGAGGGTGGTGGTGGTGATGGTGTGTTAGAGGAAGGTCGTGGTAGTGTGTTAAGAGGGACAGTGGTGATGGTTATGGTGTGTTAGAAGGAAGATGGTGGTGGTGTGTTAGAGCGAAGGTCGTGGTGGTGGAGATGTGAGAGGGTGAGTCACACTTGCCTTAGGAGCCTTCGCTTTCTCTTCGGTGATGCGCGCCTCCATCTCCACCAAGGTCTCCTTGGTGAAGAGGCGCAAGGAGTCCGGCCCCGGCGCAGTCATCATTTCTCTGGATGTCGCGGCCTCCGTTGACGGCGCTGCTGTTTCCCCTGCCGCTGCTGCTGTAGCCACCACCGCTCGGCAGCTCCGGGCTCTGCATTAACCCACTCTGCAGCAGACGCAACGCCGAGAGAGAGAGACAGAGAGACACGGTGGCACGTTAATAAGAACAATACTTTTTTTATTACGCTTGTTTAGCCAGGAAAGCCTCACTGAATCTCAAGACCTGTGGAACACACTGCCGCCTCTGTTTACTGCGCCCCCCCCCCCCCCTCCGCCGTATCAATCCACCGCTGGATGAAGATGTTTTCATCATCAGCATTATCATCATATAGGATGTTTGTCATCATTATCATAATACCACTGTTGCTACCGCTGATTAAGTGAAAGATGTTTTTTTTTTCTCCTACTTTGAACTCAAGGTCCAAACATCAGAATATTTCTTTATACTGCAGGAGGAATCCGATAAGCTATAAAGCTCTTTTTCACAGATGTCCAGTAGGGGCAGGTCAGAAAGTTACAACAACAATGCATAAAAATCATAGGATTGCAAAGTATAGGAAAGGTAAGCAAATCACAAAAATATACTATTTTAATTTTACCAGGTAAAGCCCACTGACATATCAGCTTCTTTCCATAAGCAACCTGACCACAATTGATGCGTTGAACGTCTGAGAGGCATGAGTGTTACCACTTGCGCCGTCACTCAAAGGAAGGAGGAAAAAATAATCGCGTTTATTGGGTGCGGTGCTTAAATGCTGCCCCAGTACCTTAAATCGAAATTTCATCGCCATAACTCCAATGCCCAGCTGTGGCTTCTCTATTTTAGCCCAGTGGACCCCCTTCTTCTTTCGTACGGCGGTTGATGTAGATGCAGAGCAACAACTACAATTTAAAATGTAGGTGGTTAAACCAGATGACTACGTCAGGAGCAAGCGAAGTGTATCATGGGAGCCCCCGATGACAGCCGTCCCTGCGTGGCCGCAAGGCGAGAAAGCGCCCGGCGTACAAGCGCCCAAAATCATTGCCTGCTACCTTTGTCGCCGTTTCTCCCACGCCGATGTTAACGCAGCCACGCAAGGTGTTCCTTCATCTCTACCTCGGGCGAGGCCCAGGTTGTGTTCAGCACAGTCAACACGGGCATCCCCGTGACTGATGAGGCAAATTTCGAGGCCTCCATCCATCCAGCAGTGGATTTGACAATTGCAATCGGAAGTACACAAGTGATGCACACGCGCGCACACGCACAGCTGTTTTACTTGAAACGCTTTGTGAGCGCAGCGCTTGCATTCCTACTGCGCAAACTGTAATGTGATTTGCGTGCACGCTGTCCAAGTAATTCAATTCCGCTAAAGACTGGGGGCGATCGTGATACGTTCGGATTAATAGGCAGATGAATGGTTACGCGATATCGTTAAGTGAGTGCCAGAGGAAAACAACGCATTTCGAACAACGTGCAACGGTCACTTGTTGTCGCGAAAAAATGTATAGGCTTTACCCTTCTCAGCCAAGAATATGGGCATTAAGATGTTGATGCCTTGTGACAAAACGTGTATGAATCTATGTTAAACATATTTTGCATCGTACGTAGCCAATCATGCTAATCAGGTCTATTTTGCGTTTGAACATCTGAACACCTTCCGTATTCTCACCGGAAAGAGCAAAGCCTCCTCTATTTTTCACCATCTTGACATCGGCAAAAAAGGGTCCCGTGGATTTGTTGGTGCTTCGCCGTACGGCGGGGACCGGCGGTGACAACGGACGACCCCCGGCCTCGCGGAGAGAACTGCCAGCGTCTGAATGGCGGTGATGCCGTCTGCTGACCTCAGCACCGCGGACAGCGCACGCGGCCATTAAGCCACACGCCCGCTGGGCGGTGCAGTGGCGGGCGGTTTTACTGCAACGCAGGCCCACGCCGCAGCTCCTGCTCCGCAGGCTCCGGGGGGAGAATCATCGAGCCAGCCACCGACCCACCCAGCCAGTCGCCCAGCTAGCTAGCCAGCCGCCCAGTTAACTAGCCAGCCGCCCAGCTAACTAGCCAGCCGCCCAGCTAACTTGCCAGCAGCCCAGCTAACTTGCCAGCCGCCCAGCTAACTAGCCAGCCGCCCAGCTAACTAGCCAGCCGCCCAGCTAACTAGCCAGCCACCCAGCTAACTAGCAAGCCGCCGACCCACCCAGCTAACCGCCCGGCTAACTAGCGAGACACCCAGCAACTAGCTATCCAGCCATCCACCCAACTAACTAGTCAGCCAGTTAACTAGCTAGTCTGCCAACCCGTTAATTAGCTAGCCTGCCAACCAGTTAACTAGCTAGCCTGCCAACCAGTTAACTAGCTCGCCTGCCAACCAGTTAACTAGCTCGCCTGCCAACCAGTTAACTAGCTCGCCTGCCAACCAGTTAACTAGCTAGCCTGCAAACCCGTTAACTAGCTCGCCTGCCAACCAGTTAACTAGCTTGCCTGCCAACCCGTTAACTAGCTCGCCTGCCAACCCGTTAACTAACTCGCCTGCCAACCAGTTAACTAGCTCGCCTGTCAACCAGTTAACTAGCTAGCCTGCCAACCCGTTAACTAGCTCGCCTGCCAACCAGTTAACTAGCTAGCCTGCCAACCCGTTAACTAGCTAGCCTGCCAACCCGTTAACTAACTCGCCTGCCAACCTGTTAACTAGCTCGCCTGCCAACCAGTTAACTAGCTCGCCTGCCAACCAGTTAACTAGCTAGCCTGCCAGCCCGTTAACTAGCTAGCCTGCCAACCCGGAACTAGCTCGCCTGCTGACCAGTTAACTAGCTCGCCTGCCAACCAGTTAACTAGCTAGCCTGCCAACCCGTTAACTAGCTCGCCTGCCAGCCAGGCAACCAGTTAACTAGCTAGCAAGCCAGCCATGCAACTAGATAGCTAAACTGGCCAGCCAGCCAGCCAAAAAACTAGCAAGCCAGGCAGCCAGCCAACTAGACAGCAAGATAGTGAGCCTCAGCCAGCCAGCTAACTTGCCAACGGGCCTACCAACTCATCCATCCATGAGTCATCGGTGGAAGTTCCACTTTCCTATGGCAGGGGCAAGTCTATTAATAGACATCCACTGTGGACATGCCCTGAAGTGTAATCCTTTGGTTGACCCCAAAGGGATGAAAGGCTGAGTGGAACAAAGACCCCCTATATATCCATTACAGACAGTTGGAGCAAGTGCTGTTAGCAAGCACCACCTATGGAGGCGACAGCACGTGAAGGTGGGTGGCAAGCATCACGCCTGGCCGCCTTTGTATCCCTAGTGATGATGCTTACACAATGCACTGCATTGTGCTGTTCCGGATGCGCATCTGTGGCCGTCTGGAACGCTCTTACTTCAGATATTAGGAACCCACTGGAGCTATTCACTTTAAAATCCAGATTGAAAACAAATTTCTTGAGAACTGCTTTTTGTGTTTAGTTTGTTGTCCTTCCCCCACACCTCCGGTTAGCACGGTTGGCTAAGTACGGTGTGAAAGAAGTTCAAAATACAGTACGCACCGGGTACTAATTTTAGACCGAGTCAATCTCGGGTCGCTGGGTTCGTGGCGCTTGTCCCTCGTGGACACAAAATTACATATAATCTTCTTTTCAGCAACAACAGCAGCTGCTGATCTGGAACATTCACTTATGCTGACCATGTAGCCTTGGCGATGCCTCATCCAGAGTGGCCGTTCTCAGTGAGGGTCGTGTGGGGACACGGAGTGAGGAGAGGACACTTGTCCCAAATTAATAATTAAAATAATTTAACGTTCACGACATTTACAAAAAAATAATGAGGCGGGAACGCGGCTGGGAAGAGAAGACGAATGTGGCAGTGAGTGGAAATATTCGTCTAAGTTTTGGCGGGGAAAGGAGAGGAGGCCGATGAGATGAGAAACTTTCTACAGATCTGGAGAGACAGAGTACGGCATCCCGTGTGGCCTGTGTACCGAATGCTGCTCAAGACCTTCCTGCCAGCGACACTTCACAAGGCCCTCAAAGTGCACCTAGCCTGGCAACAAGCGTAGGGGCGACGTCACCGCGGTGGTTCCAGTTTCCTGCTCGCCAACACAGGTGACGATTGCCTCAACCGGTGCCGGTTGAGGCAATCGTCAGCACTTGCAACTCCCGGCCTCTGCCTTGTCTTTGTGTAGCGGGAGGAACTTTAACAAAGTCCGAAGCCTTTCAAATGGGTTCCACTTGGTCGTGGGACCGGAATTACCAGCGTGGTGAAGTATGGTCAAACAACCCAACCCCCCACGTCCGACACGGTGTAGGGGGCCTTCATCCAGCAGTGGATCAACAAAAGCGCTGTTACTTATTTTTTTATAATTGTACCTCAGTAACTACCTCCACATTCTCCACTTTGAAACTGTCTGTACCGACATGTACCCATGTCTGTACATCGTGTACAAAGATCCCCCGTGTAGCCTACACAGACTGTAGGGGCAAGTGCTGTGAGCGAGCAGCGCCTACGAAGGCTACCGGCACTGTGGCACACGAGGGGGTGGGTGGCCAGCACCACGCCCGGCCGCCTTTGTCTCCCCAGTGGCGATGGTTACCACACACCGCACCAGGTACTCACTTGAGGCTGAGTCGACCTAGGGGAGGTCCACGACCGGTTCAGATAATCGTCACTGGCGGTTTTGGCCGTGATCTGGAATCGAGCGCTAAGCACTGCTAACTTTACCGCTCCCCACGATGTCTCTGTCCAGTACTCACAGACATTGTCTGGTGATGCACACACTCGTCAATGACAACACTGGCATAGGAAATTAAATACATGATAGGCGACGTTTCGGGCAATGTCCCTATGTGCTATGGAGAATGTCCTGTAAGCTCGCTATATATACACACTATAGTCAGTGTATTTCGTTGGCAGAGTTTTTTGACAAACGTGTTGAGTTTTTTATACTGACAACCCCCTTATCAGTGCCCTGCCTTATTACAGACCAATTCAAACCTTATTGGTCACCCTGTGCCCTTTACACATCTCAAAGTTCATCCTACAAAGTCCCCACCACAAGGGAGAAACACAAAAAACACAAAAAACACACAAAAACCGTGTTTTTTTCCCGTATTGAAACGGCTGTACGCCGCACGGACATGAAAACAAAATC